CTCTCTCTCTCTCTCTCTCTCTCTCTCTCTCTCTCTCTCTCTCTCTCCCCCTCCTGCTGACTGAGAGACAGAAAAAGACAGTCTGGAATGTGAAATATGACCAACTTTTTTTCTTTCACCACCCAATTAGCTGACTCCCTTAGCATATATGCATAATTAGCTTGCATTAATATTGCATCCATTTTTTGCAAACATATTCTGAAAAATCCATCCGGACTAATTAATTTAACATTGATGCTTTTATTTCACAACAGTGCAGCCTCAGTTTTGATCATTTGATTCACTGTCTGATGTTTCACGATGTATTTCATCACAACATTTACAAAGTGAATACCATGCCCGTGTTAAGTCTTTATCTTTATTCGACAGATGTCTAGATACATGCAGATGCTCCAACTTCCCTTTGTGTGTTGTATACTGATTTTGACCTACTTAATATGTCTCTTTAATGATGCAAAAATGAATTTATGTTTGTAAACTGCAAACATAAATGCATTTTTTGTCTGCAGAGCAAAATCTTATTTGCTGTAGAGTCTTTTTTTTCAACAGACAAAGGCATAATATATTTATCTGTTGATAAAGTGAACTGAAGTGAAAAACAAATCCACGGGGAAGGAGTATTATAGGGTTACTTTATGATATCAGCGCAATAATCACAGCCTCGGGGACCAAATCCATCATTCCAATCTTCCTATTTTTTCTGAGTCAATATCTTAAACTTTTCATCAGCCATCATCATGACAACAAGTTTATTTAATAAAAGCCATTTGGATAAAATCACATTTTAACCCGTTAACCACCTCCGCGAGTCTCCACGCTGTGCATGCAGCGGACTCCCCGGCTGGGACTTGGCTGTGGAAGGTCCTCCCGCACTGCGAGCGGTGCTGTATCAAGCCTTTTTTTTTTATTGCCTGCATCTGTGTACCGTCAGATTTTTTTTTAAATCTCCATTTTAGACAGTATACTGGCGCATCAGTGGGCTTCATGACTGGGACAATGTGCCGGGGTCTGGTCAGTTCCTGATGGCCTGATGGTCTATCAATACCAGGCAGGTAACGACAAGAGGTGAATGATTGTGCATGCATAAAGCGCCGTCTGAGCGATGAGAGGCAGTCCGACCGACAGACAGACAGACAGGGAATGACATCCTGATTTGTTGAATTTATTATGCTTAGGTTCCTACATTTTGTTCAATGTGCATTTAAGATCATATGTGGTCGTTCAGGGATTAATATGCTGCCGGGTGTTTAATTGGACAGAACCGGCTCTGCAGCAGAAAATCAATCAATATGCAAGCTGCCATACACACCATCTGTGCTTAGCTTTGTGAAATGTGGCAAACAATTTTATTATTTTAAGGATAGCTCATGAAGTGTATTATTTGTAATATCATATCTTATTATTATCACCATTTTATTTAGCTGCTGCTTTATCAGCAGTTAAAACCCTCCATTATAGCACCTTTGTCTGATGTGTGTCTCCTTACAGATGTGGTGATGGCACAAAATAACCTCAACACCCATTTTGAAAAACAAATCATTAATGTGAATGATTTATCTTTTTCATATATATATATATATATATATATATATATATATATATGCATCATAACAATGTTTTCCCAGGTTATGGGCAATGAATCCATCTTTGTTTTTCCTCATGTTATGATGTTTGTTAATGTGTGTACGTAGCTGTAGTTTAATGATTCAGTTGTACTTTTTATATTGAAATCATCAAAAGTAAAGCAAATATTTAAGATGCTTTAAAAAACACAAATTGTAGTCTGTTTAATCAGTTAAAAAAAATAACATGCACTTATATATAGGCTGGGTAACTTATATAATGTTATATAATACTTACACATAATTAGCACATATATGTATGTATTTTTAAATGAGAGAAGAAATGCTACACTTGATGGATGATTTTAATGTATTAGTGACTTTTTGTTAATTTGCTTTGCTTTATGGATGAATTACCAAGTGTAGTTAAAACCTAAAAACCGAAAAGCCTAAAGTATATTTTTCTCCACGTATTATGAAATACGAATAATTTGTATTAATGTAGCCTAGACAATCTGGAAATACAAAAAACACTTGCTTGATCCATAGTTTAACTTTTTGCAGCACTGGTTGTTTTGTTTTATATTAGACAAAAAAAGTCTTTCTTCAGCTTTTTTTTATAAACTTTTGCTGCAGAGTGACAGTTTGAGAAAAGTGCTAAACTACAAACGAGTTAATCAGCGCAGGTCCATCCCTGAATGTCTGTTATATTATATATATATATATATAAATTCTTGCGGTTAGTTAATGTCTATCTTACCTCCACAGTCTTCCCATTACTGAGTCAGTGTGTGACCCGGGAGATGGAGAGGCAGGGCCCGGGAGAGAAGCAGCCAGACGCTAATAGGACCGGAGCCACAACCCCCCCCATCACATCAGCTGCCGTCACCATGGCAACTGTCAGCTCCGGCAGCACCACGTGCACCGGGGCGCCCTCTACCTCCCTGAGCATCATCTCTCCCGACAGACAGGCAGTCCAGGTAGTAGACAGGACCCGGGACCTCTGCATGCATTGTTTGACTTGACTGACAGGCAGTCCAGGTAGTAGACAGGACCCGGGACCTCTACATATGATTGTTTCATTGTCGATGAGTCCAGTTAATAGACAGGGCCTGGGAGCTCTACATACAATTGTTTCATTTAAGAGGTGTCCAGGTAAAAGACAGTATCTGGAACCCCTGCATGATTTTTTATTTGACTTGGCAGGTCGGTAGGTGACCGATGACCAGGTCTAATGCTTAGAGCCAGTACAGAATAATTGATGATTTTGTAAAGTAAAAGATAGGTAGTTCAGAATATAGTCAGTCTTCTGTTGAACTGCGTAGCATATGCATTTTCTTAATAAAACCAGGAGTTATATGTTATCTTAAAAAAGTGACTTCCATATAAAAAAGCTGCTAGCACTAAGTATAAATCAAATTACAGAATTCAAATACCTCAAGCCTTTGGCCATGAAAAATAAAAGTACCTTTTACAAAGCAACTCGATATTATTCTAGGAATATTCCAATCCTAACATTTTATTTTTCAGAAGTAAATGTTCTAAATGTCTCAAAAAGACTAACTAACTGAAATTATTTTTGTAAAGTGCTTGATGTATCCGTCATGTGACCCAACAGGTGATCCAACACGCCATCCACAGACCTCAGAGCATGGCGGCCCAGTACCTGCACCAGATGTACGCGGCCCAGCAGCAGCACCTCATGCTGCAGACGGCCGCCCTGCAGCAGCACCAGCACAGCCCTCATCTGCAGAGTCTGGCCACCATACAGCAGGTCAGAGGGTGTCTGTTCTGTGTTAGTGCAAGCACGAGGAGTCATTTAGACATGAGCTGTAGGGTTTGTGATAACGCTCTAATGTCTTTCAGGCGTCAGTCTGTCAGCGGCAGACGCCTTCTTCATCCAGCGGCGGTTTGGTTCATCAGCCTGCTGGTGTTTCCCAAAACTCAGTCAGTATCTATGTTACAACTCTTTATCAATCTGACGTGCCCTGAGCACGGATATTAACCTCAGCGTCTTTCTCTCGTCCAGATTACCATACCAGCGTCTCCAGTGACAGCGCAGCTGATTGGCCGAACCCAGACATCCACTGGTGGTGCAACCACCATATCCCAGCAGGCCATGCTCCTGGGAAACAGACCGGCCAACTGTAACCAAGCTCAGATGTACCTTCGCACTCAGATGGTACAAAGGTTTTCAATTATGTCACGCTGTTGGTCAAGCTGTACTTACACTGGTACTTCAAAACTGCATGACCTGTTTACCCCCATTTATAAGCTCTCACAACATGAAGTTTGTTTATTTCTAGCCACCTATCTCTCCTGCTCTTTGCTTTTCTCCTGTTAGCTTATTCTAACCCCTGCCTCCACGGTGGCTACAGTTCAATCAGACCTCCCCGCTGTCACCTCCTGCTCCTCTTTACCTACCTCCTCTCAGGTACGAACTTTGAGTAACGCATGCACACCACAAGCCTGCAACATTATAGACTTCAGGTTGTTACGTATCTTGAGCTCGAGCCACATTGGATGTTGATGGATGTTAGAGGAACCATTGATAAAGTCGGGCTGTCAACCTCACCACTTCTTGCTTTTATAAACAGTGTCAAAGTGACTTCCTGTCTGTTTCTCGTTCAGGTGCAGAATCTCGCTCTGCGTGCCCACTTGCCTGGAGCTCTGGCCACAGCCCACGGTGTGATCTTAAAGCCGTCCGCCCAGTCACAAGCCCCGACTCCGACCACCTCTTTATCCAAGACGTCAATCTGCGGGTTGAAAACTAACCAGCTGACCGACACCTCAACAGAAACAGGACCGGCTGATGTCACCCGGTTGGCCTCAGGACCCCAGATTATGACGCCAGGTGAGATAACGGGTTCAAATACTGAGGCCTAAAGGAAGATTACCAGAAAGCGTGTTTCAGGTTTAAGTGATGAGTCACAGGAACAAAAATGAACGCCCACACCGTGACATTTGCCGTAACTTTTCAGGTCCACCTTGAGAAAGAGATCCTTGTTTTGTGTATTTGTTAGATTTTGTTCTTCACATCTGTCCGTGCTTCACTCTCCTTGCAGCCTACTCTACGGTGCAGACCAACACTCTGGTCAAGCAGCAGCTGGCCTGTCCGCCGGGCCAGCGGGTGGCGCACCACCAGTTCATCCTCCAGCAGGCTGCAGGAGGATGTCCACACCACAGGCATCTCCAGCCCATCGCGCTCAGAGTAGCACCTCAAGAAACCAACTCCAACCCTCTTCCTCTTTCAGTTAAAAGACTGACCACTCCCGGCACCCAATCAAAAACCAACAGCGACCCCCACGCCCCTTCTTCCTCGTCTGTCACCAGCGTGTTTGCATCCTTAGCTCAGACCTCGATCCCAGCCGCCACCGTTCAGCCTCAGCCTCCTCCTCTGGTGGCCGCTCCGCAGCGGCGGACGACATTCCCACAAGTTCAGAACCAGCCTCCGCCTCCTCCTCCACCTCTGGTTCTCCCCAGGCTGCCCCAGAACCCCCCGGCCTCTCTCCAGAGGCTGTCCCTGCACTCGGTCCAGGCTTTGGCCGTCCAGTCGGGACGGATGCTGCTGACAGAGCGGGAGCTACCTGTCGCGGAGGCTCTGGTCCAGATGCCCTACCAGAACCTCCCACCTCCTCAGACGGTGGCTGTCAATCTGAAAGTGCATCGAGTCAGACACAATGAAACTCCATTGGTGAGCCGCCAAGTGCTGGGGTTAAGCTCTGTAAGCTTTGTCTGTTCACAGTGTCTGTTGTTTTGATGAAGCGTTTGTTGTGGTTCGAATTTCAGTCGGGGCAGACGGGGTGCAAAGTGAATGGATTGAGCTCAGAGGAGAGGAAAGATGCACGTCCTCCCAGTCCACAGCAAGACAGGACCCTGACACCTCTCACCGGGCCTCCTAAGCAGAATGGTGCAGGTAAAGTAAGATGATAAATATAATGAAAAAAGAAAAGAATAAAAGTATTTATAACCCTAGAAACTCTCCTCACTAGCCAGAGGGGTGTTGGTTCAGAAAAGCAGAGCTTATTGTGAAAGCCTTGAATGAACATACAAATCTGAACCTGGATCTGTTTCCCGGAGATGCAACATTCTATCAAACACTTTAGACGTATCGAATGTTTCTTGAGACATAACAGCCACCATATGGTTAAAATGTCTGCCACTGAAAACTAACCTGTCTGAGACCAGCTGAGTCTTCAAAGTAACTGAGTTCAGACTGATATAAACCTCCTTTGCAAAACTGAATTTCCTGAATATAAACCAGAATTACTGGAACAAGCCTGGTTCAACCAGTTACCTTGCTGTAGAAAACAACCGTCAGATCTCTTGTCTTTCATGCCTTTAAGCAGTCTCGGGTTCATCCTCCATCACATCCAGTCGCTCAGTGATCCGGCCACCTGTGGTGGAAGAACCCTCCCAGCTCACCACCACCACCACCAGCAGCAACCCTCCTCCTCCTCCTCCTCCTCCTCCATCTCCTCCTCTACCTCCGCCCGTCCTGCCAGCAGCAGCAAGAGGCCCCAGCCAGCCCCGCTCCTCTCCAGCCAGCGTCCCAGGCAGCCCCGACAGGATACTAACAACCCACGTCCTCACACACCTCATAGAGGGCTTCGTCATCCGAGAGGGTCTGGAGCCGTTCCCGGTATGAACGCTGGAGGTGCAATATCACCAGCGAATGTCTGTTAGAGTTCGATGTTTTAGCTAACGGGAAAAGTTCATCCTGAAGCCCTTAAAACTGACATTGTGTCTTGTTGTTTTTCCACTGTTAGACGGTTTACATTTCTGATAATCCGTGGGTAGTTAACATTCAAATATTTCTGGTGCAAGTATAATGGAGAAAGTAGAATAATAGATTTCCAGCTAACAAAAACTAATTCTGGTGTCAGAATAAAAAAGTAAGGGCTTGTTAGTAAACTCACATTAAGTAGAAGTCCTGCACAGATGTTGTACCAGTTCTGCTGCCGTCGTTCACATCTTGTGTAGCGGGCGGTTTTTAGGTTTGCAGTTCATAACAATAATTATTAATTTAATTTGTACAGCACACTTTCAGATACTAACACCATCTCAAGGTGCTTCACATACAGGACAAAACAATTAAAGTACAACACTAAAATTAAACAGGTTACACCAAAGAACCATGCAGTTATAGGGTTGAAATAGGATAAATAAAATTATAAACAAAGTTTAAAAGTAGATAAAGTTAGAGACAGGATTTAGCAACCCAAAAACACATGCAGTATGAGCCAGGACTGTAGGGGAAAGCAGATCAGGTGAGTCCTAATTTTAGTCAAATATAGACGTGTAAAAATACACTCCATCTGTTTCTACGCAGAACTTGTGTCCTTCCACGTCAGTATGGGAGATTTACCTTTTTCTAAATGCAACTCTTAATGCAGGTGGTCTCCGCCTCGGTGCTAGCGGACCAGCAGGCTTCACTTCCCGAATCCCAGGAGATGCAAACCAACGGGGACGCAGCAGCAGAGGACAGTCCGCTGGACGCTGACCAGTCGGATTCAACAGACTCAGAGATGGAAGACGACGGCCCTGCAGCAGATGGTGAGGTGATGTGTGTGTGTGTGTGTGTGTGTGTGTGTGTGTGTGTGTGTGTATAAGACATGTGTTGTTTGGGTGTGTGTACGTGTGACTAACAGCTGGCCCTGTGAAGATGCAGAGCTGGGGGAGAGTTTGGCCGCTGTGCTGCAGTGCGAGTTCTGTGGGAGTCGAGGTTACGCTCACACGTTCCTGCGCTCCAAACGCTTCTGCTCCATGACGTGTGTCAGAAGGTAAATCAATCACTCACACACATCCAGATGCACCAACAACACTTCGCCTAATGAGCATGAGTCAGTGTTGTAGTAATCCAGATCAGTCTTAGTCTCAAGACCGACCCCAAGACCACTTTTTAGAGGTCTTGTCTTGTAAACAAACCCGATCTCAGACAAAGAGAACTCTGGATTTTATTTCAAGATTGTTCAAAACCACAACTGCAGGAAACACTAAATTGCGCATCAGTTTTGTGATTGCTCATAGAAAACAAAGGCAAACTCTGTTTCTCGTGCTGCACGTATGGACATACACACACACATATACATATATAAAAGAGGTGAATTGAGAGGATTTTTTTCTCTGTAGGTGTTTTCATGGGAATGTGGATTTCAGATTAATTTCAGGAGAGCATGTTCCACATTTTATTGTGAGGGAGTCATGCAGTGTGGGACAGGTCTTGGTCTTGACTCGGTCTCTGTTAAGTGGTCTTGATCCCACATACACCGTCCTGCTGCTAGTAATACTCACTACTAGAGAACTGAATATGTATTAATCCACAGCTGAAAATAGTCCCCAATGAGCCTTTAAAGAAATACAATTATATACTTGTCATTCATTTAAAAAAAAAAGTTCAAACACATGATCACAGCTAAAGTAGGGAAGCTGGAATGTATTGAGAGATGGACGAAGATATGTCTTTTCATGTAAGAACAATACAGAAGTACACCACCGTTGCTATTCAAAATAATGACGGATATTTAATAATTGATAATCTTGTATGTACATTAGTTTAAAGAGGGACTGATGCTGCATTGAGTATTTCAGCCTTGTTTTAATGTAAGTTGTTGCTTAGTTTAAAGTTTAAACCCACTGTATGTGGAAAGAATGAATAAAAACAAAACTTTACTGCAGCAGATCTTCTCAGACGTCAACAAGACATTCGTTTCTACTGCAAATGAGCATCCATCCTTGTATAAATAAAGATTTTAAAAGAAGCAGCCTCTACCACACAAGACAAGTAAACTGAAATGTCGTCAGTGGTGGTGAGACACATCATCTGACATCTGGAACCCATTGAGTTACATTTGGGCTCTCAAGTGTATAATCACTCCCAGGTTTCCTTTTGAGTCTCCATTCAGGCACCAAAGAGTCCAGATGCAGCTCAGAGCACAATGACAAAAGCCCGTCTAACTGTCTGCAATCAGTAACCACAGGCTCGTACAGTCCCAAAGGGCTTTTGGACTTTGAGGATCGTCATCATGGTGAACTGCATGAATCTAATTTGGTATTTTGGTTCAGGTTCAGTGTGAGCTGCAGCAAGCGTATCACTGTGCTGAGAGCAGGTCGCTGCGGTCACAGGCCGATGGGCCGGAGAGGACGACCCCCCAGCAGAGTCAACGGAGCCTCCAGAGAACATTTTCTGAGACAGGTCAGTGGTATCAGCTGACCTGCTGCATGTAGCCAAACGCACAAGTGCTGCTATTTGATGCTAAAACTTGTGAAATTGTTTTAGCGTCAGAAGCTGCTTAAGGCTCAATGATCTATCATGCAACATTAGAAAAACCCTGTAATGCCCTTTAATTTAAACCTTTATTTTGAAAGGACTATTCCATTAAATGTTTAAAAAACAGCAGGAGCCTAAATCCTCTCTGAGGACTAAAGCCAATACCTGGTTGAGCTTTACTGCACGTAGTCTCGACCAAAACACGGGATATTTGTCTCACTTGTCTTCGGCCCCAACAGGCTCGTGGGTCGTTTGGCTCTGAGGAGACCCGCCAAAGCTCACCGAGAGAGGACGACGAGCAGGACGAAGAGGAGGAAGACGAGCCTCCTGTTCCGATGACAACCAGGCTCCGGAGACATGCCGAGAGAGAGAGGGAGAGAGAGCAGGAGAGAGAGCGGGAGCCGAGGATGACGGAAACAATCAGTGTTTCTGAAGGAGAAGACGACGCCGGCTGTCCGGCTCAGTGGAACGTTCAACAAGTGTTTTCTTTTATCAACTCCCTGCCAGGTACAAATATAGCTGCATGCTGTTCATCAGTGGTGGAAAAGAGCTAAGTGCATGTACTCAAATACTGTACTCAAGTACAAATCTGAGGTACTTCTACTTTACTAGTCTTTTCTTTTCACGCTACTTTATACTTTAATTAATACGTCAATTCAGAGGAAACTATTGTACTTTTTACTTCAATACAATTATTTGACAGATTAAAATTCTTACATCCAAAACATATTTTATGTTTTGGACGTAAATCAAACTGGTATATAAACAGTATATAAAAGTGCTGCTGAAACAATTAGTCAATCAGCTGATTGACAGAAAATGAAATGGCAACAATTTTGACAATAGTTTCAAATATTTTTAAATCATTTTGAGGTTTGGACTATTATGTCTGTAGCAGGAATACAGCTTGTTTCTTCCAGCCGTGTCAGAGTTTGTCATATTAAAGTGTTAATGAACAGGGGGCCCACACTCTACTCAGTCCATCCGTCCATCTCTCTTCTCCAGGTGGTCAGGATGTAGCCGAGGAGTTTCGCTCCCAGGAAATCGACGGACAGGCTCTGCTGCTTCTAACCGAAGACCACCTGGTCAGCACCATGAACCTTAAACTGGGACCTGCACTCAAACTGTGTGCCCACATTAATTCTCTGAAAGATGCATAAACACGTCAACGTCCCTTCTCTCCAAGAATGGATGTGTGTTGATGAAGAAAAACAGGACGACGTTTTGAAGCACTACCCATTTCTCCAGTTGTCCGACTTGTCCTCGGACACAAAGACAGTTAAAACACACCGAGTGGATCGTGTTGAGCTGGAATCATGAAAACAGACTGCAGTTTTTCTTGAGACCACTGCCAAACGTTTCCCTCCTGAGTGAAGTCCTCACACTGTAACAGACGATTTTAAACACACAAGAGGAGCATTTCTTTCCATCTCCTCTTGTCTTTTGATTCCAGTGATTGTAGCCGTTTGGCTCCGGTTATCCATTTGTTTCAAAATGGTCAATTTAAAGTTCTTTTGTATCATTTGTAAACAAAGAAAACATCTATACATTATGACACAGAAAGTTAAAAGGATGCTGTACAAGCTCAAAGTTTACAAAAACAGATTTACTATCTTACACATGATTCCACTTATCATCAGCAAACTAATAACTTATGGAACCAAACTGATGACAAAGTTATTTATGATTTATTTATTACCGTCATAATTAATGTACAAATAAAACCATTAAAGTATTGTACACTGTTTTGTGGTTTTGTAACACGTTTTACAAAAAGGTACCAAAACTCCCAAGAGTCAAATATAAGGATTTACTTCTTTATATTGGACAATAATAAATGTGACTTTGTAATAAACTATATACAACATGGAGTTCAAGGTCAAATGGCTGTTTCCTATTGGTCTGGACTTGTAACTGATTCAGTAAGCCCAGCTTAATGTTTTGCAAGGTAGAATAATATATATGATCTGCTGAACAAAGTATGAGTGAATTAACTGCAGCAGATAAACATGTTTCAGATCTAAAAGTAAAACAAGTTCATGTATTCATCGCTAACTTGTTTAGTACAAAAGAAACGAGATGTTTGGGCTTTTTGTCCGGTTAATGTGAGAAAAAAATAAAACCACCTAAAAATTCTCCTGTATTTTTGGTGAACCACCACCAGAGGGCATCCTTTAAACAGTTTATCGTTTCTAACTATTTATTTCTCTGCTGCTGTAAAGAAAAGTCTGGTAGAGAACTCATCCAGCTCCAAATGCATCATGTTGTCTTTCCTGTACACAACATTAAGTAGTTTGGTAGATAATACTGACCGTGGTCAAGCCTTTTACATATTAAACATCACATCAGCTGGTCTCTTTAAAATAAATGAATACATCTTTAAATTAAAAAGATAATTTAATAAGTGGTGGAGGGACTGAGATCATTTACTACAGTGAAAGTAGCAAAGACACGATAGAAAAAAACTTCAGGCCTGCATTTAAAATATTAAAGTAAAAGTAAATGATAAATAGAATGTACTTGTACAGCGCTAATATACTAATACTACTACAAAATAACCTTCATATAATGCAAAGAAAATAGCCCATTTGAGTATTTTCACACACACACACACACACACACACACTAAAGTACCAGTAAGTCAAAATTCTACTTGCGTACAGTATTTGAGTGAATGTACTACGTCTCTGTGGCCTGAAGGACAAACAGAAGCAGAGTTCGTTTCCACTCACACAACAACACACGAACACGACTCGGGTTACAGCGATAACTGTTTATTTAAAACAAGCCCGGGCATTTCACTTTAAAGACGGATTAAAATGGATTGTGGAACAATTCTACAATCCTCTCAGTGTAATGTCTGTCCTGAAGAATACTACGGACTACATCGTACACTTCTACTCTACACATGCGGAATGTGGTGCACGGATGTGGGACGCATCGGTGGAATGTTTGGAGTCCGCAAGAGACGGTCAGAATGAAAACAGAGACGAGAGTAGCGGGATGTAGAGGAACGGTTCCATGCACACCATTTGGTTTACGAGGCTACTGTGCAAAAGTTGTTTGCGTTTAAGACATAAGAGCAATATCAATGTGATAGAAATGTCATTGACTCGATGACGGATGAGTGCTCGCGGAGGCAATACGGTCGATCAGTTAACAGGCACTGCAAAAGAGGAGTTCATACATTCCAAATGTGGTGGCGCTTTGTTTTTATAGGTCTGTAAATTAATTGAATTTCCAAATAATTCCCGAGGATGTTTCCAGGAAAGAATCAGGACATTTGGTGCCGATTATAGAGAGCTGATCAGTTGGACAATTAAGATGTGAAATGTGTTCATTAAGCGCATGTGATGAATACATATTTACTTGGGTATAAATAGAGAAACGTCATTCATGGAGAGTCCTCTGGAAGACATTAATAAACTAATTAAACTAATATAACAGTATCAGCTCAGTCAGTTCTTTCAGTCTCTATTTTCTGGGATTTAGAGACAAACTATGTGGTTCTTTCCAGGAAACTTTCACAAGGAATAATTAAGAACTCATTAGGCAATGACAGATCTGTAAAATAACGCATGAACCTAAATCTCTTTGTTTTCTATGCTGAGTGTTTACGTTTATTGCATCCTTTGGCGTTTGTCCCAATTAAATATGAGCTGCAATCGAATCGGAAACGTAAACGGATAAATAAACAAACCTGAAACTACAAGCTGAATATAAGAGCAAACATCTCCGGCTTCTACAGCACCGGGACATTCAGTCGCAATTACATTTCTAAAATAAAAGATAACCAGGCTGAGAAAATTGGCAAAACAAAAAAGCCAATATAGTTGCAAACTTTGAATTATTTGTCACGTAACCGTACATAAAATCTAAAAAAAATGATAAATTAACTTATAAAACAGAGGAATGAAACTTTTCACGGGGGAATGGGTTCAACATATTGCCTCTCGGCTTCTTGCTGGTTCTCTGAAGCGTGACATTAAAAAAAAAAAAAAAAAAAAAAGAGTTGGAACATTTCTCCCGACAGGCAGCAGAGTTTATGACGACAACTGACCCACTCACACCGCACTGACGCGTGCAGACGACACGGAGGATACTCGAGAATCAAAGCATCATTGTTCAGGACATGCTGCCGAGGCCGTCCTTCTCCACCAATATGGACTTGACCAGCTCCTCCACCCAGCGGACTTCAGAGGCCACCTGCTCCGCCAGGACCTCGTAGCGGTTCTCCAGGCGCCCGTACTTGCGCTTGAGGATGTTGGCGGCCTGCATGGTGAGCCGGGCCTCCTCCTGGCTCTTCTTGCGCTGGGCCTGAGTGCGCTGCAGCTCTTGGCGGATGTGGCTCAGGTCGCTGGAGATGCTCTGGTTCTCCTCCTTGTACCAGCCCTCCTTCTCCTCGTAGATGGACAACAGTGCCGCCACATCATCCCGGCACGAGCGCTGGTTACGCTCCAGGTCCCTCAGGCCTTCCTCTGCTGCCGCGATCTCCTCCAGCACCTGGGAGAAGCGCTCGAAGTTGACGTAAGTGTTGTTCGGAGGCATGCTGGAGTGGGACTTGATGGTGTACTCCTTCAGACGAGTGGTTTTCAGGCGTCGGCGCTCCGTCTTGTGGTCTCTCTCCTCCTGGCGGACATTTCGCCTCTTAATAACCTGCAGAGGGAAAAATGTTTTTTTTATCTCCAATACCAGTATTTGTATCGACTACAAAAAATCCAATATGATGCTATATATAAATTTGTTTTATTTAAGAATTGTGACCAAGGTACAGTATGTACTGACCAGAACATTTTGAATTTTAAACTCAGCAAACAGATATAAACGCTGAATAAAAACCCACCTTAATCCAGGGGTGCTCAAGACTGTCATCAATCGTCATTCTCTTCCTGCGAATGAAAATAATCCACCAGTGAGAAAATGACAAACTTCCATTTGTCTACGAAACAGAGATTTCTCTTCTTTGCTTTTGGTGTAAAATATGGTAAAAAGTTCCTACTTAGGATCCTTGACCAGCAGACGTCGTATGAAGTCCTTTGCCAGCTCACTGGTGTTACTGAAATACTCTTCATCAAAGTCGTAGTTGACGCCCGAGATGTTCGTCAGGGTCTCCTGCTTGGTCTCGCCCAGAAATGGTGAAGCACCACTCAGTCTACGGGATCAGAGAGAGAAAAAAAAAAAAAAAGGGATTTGCTTTACAGAAACAACATGGACGAGGAGTGAAGTGACTTATGTTTCAAGACATTGTTGTCATTACTCACAGGATGTACGTGATTACTCCGATGCTCCTGCAGAGAAGAGAAGAACCAAACATGAATGAAAACTGTCACGCGGGTCGGTAAACAGCGTCAGAGGAGGAAGTGATGCTCACATCTTACCACATGTCCGCCTCCAGTCCGAGGGGCTCATAGTTAACTATTTCTGGAGCTGTAAAGCACAGAGGAAGGAACTTTTTAATACAAACCAGATGTGGAGATCTGAAACACACCTACAATGTTTAATTTACTTGCCAGAGTGGGCACACACGAGCATACAAACTGGTTCTTAAAGTGGAACACATTTACTTTATTAACATTCGGATATTCAGGGAAAACATGAGCTCACCGACAAACTCCGGAGTTCCAAAAATGTTCTTGAACTCGTTTCCTGCTTTAATCTGATGCGCGATCCCAAAATCAATCAGCTTGATCCTGGGGTTCGGGACGTTCTTGTCCAGCAGCATGATATTCTCAGGCTGAAAGATAAAACAAAGATAAACATTAGTGAGAGAACGAGCTGAGCTACAAGTGTACATTCACATTAAAAACAACTTTTTAAGATCCTCTTCAGCTACCTCATCATACATGCAGCGCAGAATTCAGAGAGGTTTTACTGTTTTTATACGCAGCAGCGCCACACCATAATAAACAGTGATAGTAAGAACAGTAAGACCTGGTCTATGCTGATGGGCAGTCGTATCTGCCACAGTGCTGCATATAAAGTTTGATTTTAAATGTTTTTCTTGGTTTTAAAACTTTAATCGGCACATTTTTCTGAAATTATTTGACTAATTATTACACATTTTGTGTATCTTAAAGCCCCAAAAAAATCTTCATATTGATGATACGAAGATAACTTATCATTATCACAATGCAGATTGACAACTTTGTGTGTCTGCAGTCAAATCCCTCCGCACACACAAGAGCAAGATATTTAAGGTGAACAGAATCCTCACTAACGTGTCAACTACGACCGCCGACCACCTTCCCCCCCCCCCCCGCAGACCACTGACCTTAAGGTCAAAGTGAGCGATGCGTTTGGAGTGCAGATACTGAACGCCATCCAGGATCTGCTTTAGGAACTGGGTGGCCTCCTCCTCCGTCAGAGATTCCTTCTCAGCCAGGAAGTCGAACAGCTCCCCTCCAGACACCAGCTCCAGGATCAGGATCACGTCGGCCTTGTTTTCAAAGATGTCGTGCAGGGTGATGATGTTGCTGTGCTGGATCTCCCGAAGGATGTTGACTTCGCGCTCGATCTCCTCGCGGCTCACCCCCCGACGGCTGGACGACAGTCGGCGCTTCTTGATGAACTTGGCCGCGTACTCGATACTCGTGGTCTTCTCTTTACACTTACGAACGATGGCAAATTGTCCGCTGCAGGAAAGAGGGGGGGACGGGGATGTTAAAAATATATAGATTTAGGTTAATATAGACCTGCTTGCCTTTTGTTTTTGTTGTTCCAGCTTCATGTTGTTATAAGGATCGAGTTCTTGGCGGCTGGTTAGAGTACAGAAGATATATCAAGACCTCACTTTGGGCTACGAGTACTTCTGATGGTCCGAGTCGGTGCTTCCCAACTTTTTTGGCTTATGCCCCTTAAATTGAAGCAGGGTTAGGGTTATCTGTGACCCCTCGTCACAGGTTAAGGCCTCAATGTGGACATGTGGTTCAACCGAAACGCATTATTGTTTTTGTTCAGACGGTTTCATTTGAGGCCTTTTATGAACCCAGAAGAGGTGAATGGATCCAGTATTTCAGTGGAAAACAAGCAAAGATTTTAAAAAGGAGGAGAAAGCATTTTATAAAGCATAACAAGGCAGAATTTAATGTCTGCATATGTCAGCACACACACATACACACCCTCCTATAGAGACTGTACACCTCAGTGGAGGTGGAAAGGCACATTGAGAGGCAGTGACGTCATAGTTTTGCTGCATCACTGCAGAAAAGAGTTGAGTCCAAACTATTAAAATGCGATGACTCATTACACAAACTATCAAGCATAGTGTGGAAATGATATTATAGGGTATTTAATATGTTGCTGATGATATGTTGGCCTTCATCAGATCAAATGTTTTGCAGCTCATACCTGGCATCAAAATGCATCTAGAACACATCTGAAGTAACTGTGTAGTTTGATTACACTTCACATGCTATGCATGTACTACCAACTAATACTTAAAGTTGTTTTTTTTACCTCCACCAGGTAGGCATTTGTATTCACGCAACACTACATGAATCTCTGATGTCCTCCAAAACACAGCACACATACTAAAGAATACAAACGGTATTTTGGATGCATTCACACTTGCATGTGGAACTGTCCTCCAGTGACTGGGACACCACAGACACACACGTTAGAGTCAAAGTGTGAACAGTGTCTTTTGTAACATTGACTACAGCAGTGGTACCAGGCGGATGTTTTCAGGCACAATATGTTTAACGAGAGAAGGAAAAAAAAAAAAAAAAAAAGACAATAAATGTGCAGAACATACCTGCCCAGCTCCTCTTCCATTTCATAATACAACTCCACATCCTCCTGTCTGAAGCCAGCCATGGTGTGCTGACTGGAATGATGAAGCCTTGGGATTCACTGCAGTGGAAAATTTAAAAAAAAAAGTATAAACTCAATGAACACTGGCAGTGGTTGGTGTGGCCCTGACAGCACAGTGACCAAAACAACCTTCTCTACTCCTTATTTGGCCCGAGTCAGCTCAGCTTTAGTTTTCAGAGACTTTCTGGATCATGTCAGACTTCTGCATACCAGACCTACTGACGTCATCTCCTGGACCAGCCATCTCTGACTCAATTAAAGGGACCGGGATAGAGAAACACTATCGAGGTTTTAGCTTTCCCCCCCTAATTTGAATCTTGTTTAATGAGGCTGATCTAAAAACTAAAAACTATTTCTGATTGTAGCTTTTAAGGATTCAAATCTGCCGTTTTAAAGTAGCCAACGTTACAAACAGACAGCAGAGTACATGTTCCCGTGGCTTATAGACAAACACAAAAGGAAACTCGTGCCACTGATAAACATCTATTAAACAAAAGGAATACAAACAATTTGAGAAAGAAATAAAGAGAATCCCAGCGACGGAAGACAGCTAGCTTAGCTGGTTCTAACTAGCTAGCTAGCGTACTGTATAAAACACCGGCTGTCAGAAAAAAGATTCAATCAACAACACTTAAAATACTGGCAGCAAATTAAAACGTAACCAAAAACAATACTATAAAGTATACGTACAGTGTGGTTGGCTACGAGTCGCTACGATCGCTGCATTCCTCTTCAAAAGTAGTTAGTTTGTGCGACTTCCCAGACTGAACCGTGTGAAGCTAGCCACAGTGAAACACGGAACTTCCGGTCTCGCTTCAAAATAAAACAGGCACGCACAGCACGATACAATAGCATTTAGTTGGGAGAGTGTTAGGTACACTACTGTATTTCTACATATATATTTTAACTAGTGGTTTATTTGCCATTTAAACTGTAAAAAAAATATATATATATATATATCAACCAGTCTCTGATTACTTATTATAGTGAGCCCATTATTCTGGCCACGTACAGGCAGTGACGTCAGTGTTTCAACCAGAATGCAGGAAAAAAAAAGTAAAGTTGTCTTCTGGTTAAAAAACAAACAATCATACAACTGCATTAGAGAGAATTGGAGGACAACTGCAAAGTGGAGCAACAAAAAAAATGTATTATTTTATTCTGAAGGCAGGAATCGCTTATTTCCGGTGTCGATGCTTGACTTGAAGCAGGTCAATACATGGCAGACGGAAGGACATATGAGCTGTGTCTCAATTCAGGGGCTGCATCCTTCGAGGCTGCATTCGTAGACCGGTTGCGTCACAGCGCTGCGACTAGTGCTGTCCCATTATGCATTTTTGTTAAAGAGTCCTTCAATGCAGCCGACGAATGCAGCCTTCTCGTCGGAGATTTGGAGGACACATTTGATGTATACTTCGCGGCCCAGCATATCCCAAGATGCATTGCGTGCCGGTGCGCTATTACCGGCAGCTCGGCTGCCTGCATCCGACCGTAGTAAAGTTACTTTTAATAACTTCACTTTCAAATCTCAGAGGTTGAATAATATCTTACCGAGTTTGTGATGATTTATACTTTATATCATGTACATAAACGGACCAGCGTGAGCTCAGGTAGACAGGTTGTGAACCTGAAATATCACTTTAAGTCCGGTAACGTTTCAAACGTCGAGATTAACTACACGAATACACTGAATTTGAGTATTTTGCTGATTCTGTTCATGTTTTGTTACAGAGAGCCAGGAGCTGAGGAGAGAATGATGGACAAACATTCAGCAGCCGTAGCTTTGAATTAAGACATTAGTCCATTTGACCATCCTGTGCTTAAGGTTACAGTTACATGAGCTCTCATCCTGTACAAAGCCTTCACTAATAACACAACCAGTAGATCATTCTCATGCGTTCATGTTGCTGTCACAGAGATGACAGTTGTGACTGTCACCTTTTTATTTTATTTATTTAAATTTACATAAGACATCCATGTAAATGATTTCTATGTGAATATGTATATATTCTGCTGTGTAAAATGTGTCAATCTTCGAAGTTTGCATTTCTATGTGAACATTATTGATAAATGTTTCTCTTTTCATCAACTTATTTAAAAATATAAAGTATATGCACGTGTTACTGAGAGTTAATAAACACGTTCGCTGACATTTGTTTTGCTGCTGTTAATATTAACTGTCTTGATTGATTTCCTCTGCCTTAGGATTGATATATATCTATATCTATAGATATAGATATAGATAGATAGATATACATATATATATGTATGTGTGAATGAAATGAAATAAAGTTATTGATAAATTAATTTAATTACCAGAACTATAACTGATTGAAAATTTGTTATTAGTAACTGATTTAATTAACTGATTATTAATATAGAAAAACAATATTATGAAAAAGATCTATGAATGAATTATTGAATATATGATAAAAAAAACCTGATTAAAACACTAAACTAAAACCTTTCCAGTATATATACTTAATAGGTTTTAGTTTAATGTATTTATATGTATATATATATATATATATATATTTATAATCCTGCTGAGCAGGGATTTTAGGGATGGGAGCAGCAAGAGGGGGGCGGGGCGGGAACAGCTGTTGACGCAAACAGGAAGTCCTCTGTGGCGTAGGCCGTCTCATTTCGTAGACCGCACGGTTCTGGCCTATACGGTCCTCAAAGGACGTGGCCCACGTAGACCGCGAAGGCTGGGTCCTCCGAAGGATGCAGACCCTGAATTGAGACACAGCCATGGAATGACATCATGCTCAGTGAATCAAGCCGCTGCAGCACGTCAACGAATAACAAGATTGAGCATGCAACAGCAAAGATTAAAGAGGAGCTGAATCAGCGCACAAGAAAGAAGAGAACACTGGTTACCATAATTAGAAATGTGGTTATGGTTAGTATGACCTATAGGCCAAGTAGGACAAACTGAAAGAGCCCAGTGATATTTAAAACACATTTTACAGAAATAACAAGAACTACAACAGTATCCAACCTAAACTTGGATGAATAACTAGGTAACCCTAGAGGAAAACTAAAACAAAAATGTATTACCATTCAACAGTATCCTTGTCAGTTCAATTCTCAAATAAGTCAAGTGTATTGTCAAAAAGTACTCAGATATTTTACTTTTTATAAAAGTCGCTGTATCACAGTGTATAAAATAATAATAATTCCTGTATTCTAAATTTTACTTTAAAGTACAAAAGCATTAGCAACAAACTATACTATAGAAAGATAAACAAGTAAAATGTTAAAGCTTGTAAAGGTGGAGTTTATAGTTGTACTATAATGATGTGTATTGAGAATTTCACGAAGGGATCGATAGAGTATATCTTTATAATAATACATCGATATATTTGGTATTCCAGACGTCCCTCTCTCCAGCAAGTGCTCTATCCACTGCTCGACAATGTCCCCAGTAGAGGTCAGCAGTTCTCTTCACCCTGACTACGCATTTGGGTTTACCGGGCTCCCCCCGCCATCTGATCCAACTCACCACCAGCGGGTGATCCGTTGACAGCTCTGCTCCTCTCTTCACCGGAGTGTCAAACGCATACGGCCGTAGATTTGATGATACGACCACCGATCGTTCCACTACCAAGTCCACTCATGAACCGCCCCAAACTCGAACATTGTCTGAATCTGCAAAGTAACTAAGTGTCAAATAAATGTAGTGGAGTTAAAAAGTATAGAACATGAACCATACAAGAACAATTCATAGACTGCCTACAAAAACTGCCGTCTGAAAAAGCAGCAGATTAAGATGAAGAGTACAGGTTTTTAATTTAATGAGGACTTTTCCGTCTGTAATGTGCAACATAATTCTCGAGCTGCAATGTATCATGCGCCCAACTTTGAGTCTTTTCTGCTTTAAAAACAGAACATAATCCTCAGTGAATAACAAAAAATAGAATAAAGAAACATAGCATATATAAAAATACAAAAAGATTACTCATTGATAAACCTACATCACCTAATAGTCCCCTTTTACACCATCCTCCATCTTTAAACCCTAAACACGTCTGTATTACTTTTATCTAAAACTGTCAAGCCGGTTTGAATCAGTGGAAAGACAAATGTATTTAAATCTACATTTAAACACGTTAGTTTAACTAGTTTAACCCGGGCTTGAAATTAATATCAGGTTACGTTCTTTTTGAGTGACTTTAACTTTAACCAATCAGGGACGTGTCACTCGCTCTTCACGGTAACAGCCAATTAAAACGTCCGCACAGTAAAGTGGGCGTGACTAGTTAGAACAGCTGGTGGGGGCTCGTGTGAGTGGCTCGAGCCCAGCGGTAGGTTGGTCGTTGGGGGAAACAACAACAAGCTAGACATCATGAGGGTCCCAGGAATACTGATTTGGGCCGCTCTTCTCATCCAGAAGGTGAGAGGCACCGACTGTATTTATTCAACAAACGTTTCTCTGTGCGTTTACTCCGCATTGCACCACGTGGGGGACAATAACAGATTGTTTCCCAGCCGTGTCTCGGGATTAGCTCGGATGCTATGACCGTTAGCTTGCAGAGATCACCGTGGGCCCTGGACACTCACTCACATTTGATGGAACGTTAACGAAGCAGGATTATTGCATTGAAACCACCACGAGGTTTATGACAGAGTGGGTTTCAGTAGCGATTCATAGGATCGTGAAATCCTTCTCCCTCACATCACGTCTAGTTATCGTAACAATGCGTCTGAGATGTATGACTGGAGGGAGAACACTTCTCGGCTGATTGTAATGTCACGTCCAAAAATGTTTTGTTTTAAATCAATTGACCCACCGAGTTAAATAATATCTAAAGACAGTGGTGGTATTCTTCTCTGGTGTGTAAAACTAAACACAATAGATTTAATACAAATAGAAGTGAAGTAGTTTAAGTCTTTAGGATCCCAACTGTTCATGGTTTACTAGAAACACAGCAACAATCCCCTCATTAAAATGTTTGTACAAAAGTGTTGATTAAACCGTATGATACATCTGGAGACCTCCCTCACACTACAGTACATATACTACTATACAGGTCGGTATAGATGGTAAAGACCACGTGTCTCTGCACTGATGCAAACCCAGAAAATTACTATTTTTTACAACTTGCATCGCTGTTTGACACAATGCTTTATTTCACATTTCCCACACAGGTGATAACCTGACGGTGCACGTACCTGTTCTCCTCAAGGGGCTCAATTCCCCGTTAGAATGCGCAGTCAGCTCGGGTAGCTTCGTTTGTCCAGTTTAATCTCATTGTTCTGCTGTTTTCATGTGTTGTTATCCTCTCAGAAAGATGTGCGAGACCCTGAAAGTCTCTTCTTGACCTGGTGCCATCCCCTCCGAACAAAAATCCGTCTGCTCCGACACGATAGCGCCATTTTTTCCTCTGGAGAACCACTCCACGATAAATCTGATTATTTTTAGCAATGGTTAAATTTTTAACAATATCCCGCAGCTGGTGGACACCGGAGTGTCCACCAGCACACCTGAAGCTGTAGTTCACAGGCTATGGGAGGTAATCCACATCCTTCATGGTTACTACAAACAGCCAATCAAATTGCAGCAACAAACAATCAGCCTCGTGGCATCAAATGTGCGCCAGCTGCTTTCACTGTTATATCAATTATAGTTATGTTATATAATAATATAACATCCCCTCTTCTCTTAAATAAACGGTGGTATTATGGCTAATATTCACAATTAAAAGAAATGCAGACAAAAACACCCTGTTAATTGAAAAGTGTCATTAGGTGGAGCATAAGCTTTAACTTGCTGCGTTGTTTACTAAAGGTTCCTCTATTGCACATGTGTTTGCAGAGTGTTTGTAAACTTTGACCCTGTTGCAGGACACCAACAACAGTTCATGTTCAGGTGTATGATAAAAAAAAAATAAAAAAATCAAAGTTGCAAACATTTCTCGAACATGTGAAGTGATACATTGTCGTGGTGTTGACAGGTCGTGGGAGAGTACGGCATGGCCCACATCAGTGACGAGGGCAAGAGCAAAGGGAAGGACTACTGCATATTCTTCAACTCACAGTGGGCCCGTCTACCTCAGGACCTCAATAAGGCAGTAAGTCACCAGTGAGCAATGATAGTACTGACAACGTGCTTCACGGACACACAGAACAGTGGGATCAACCACAGTATGCTGATCAATAATATCTCAGGATGCTGAAATCTGATCTCTACTCTTTGTGCCTGTGAACCAACTGCAAATCTTGATCTGTATGACTGATATCACGAATTACAGTAATGCACTCTGGAGTAGATGCATGCATGAAGGAAAACATTATTTGGAAAGAGAAATGATATCCAGGCTATTAATAAATAAACATCAATTAAATGCTGTCATTGTTTCTAATGAACATTAAGTGTTGACCCACAACATGTTGTCCTCCAGCTCTGGTTAACATTGCAAACCTTTTTGTCTTGAAGTCACGTCTTCAGATCTACGACCTGACGACATCGGTCCTGTGCTCGCCCTCCGACGTCCCGGAGGGGGGCTTCCCGAATCGCATCCCCATGGTGATGAGAGGCAACTGCACCTTCTATGAGAAGGTCAGACTCGCCCAGATCAACGGCGCAAAGGGCCTGCTCATCGTCAGCAAGGACCGACTGGTAACCCTACTTATAACCACGTCTTCATCAAGATCAAGATTCAATTGATTTTGGCAATTCAGAAAAGAGAAATGTGTGTTTTTTGTTGTCGTTTTGGTTAAATCATAGACGCCACCAGCAGGAAACAAGACTCAGTATGAGGAGATTGATATTCCTGTAGCACTGCTCAGCTACTCTGATTTGCTGGACATAAGCAAGGTGAGAGGCCATCCACTGACCATTCAAACAGCTGATTAACAACAAACCTCTGGCTACCTGTGGGGTTCTACTGTATCAGCAAAGTTAATCCACACTAAACCGTCTGTACATTCAGCGAAGGCAGATTAGGGTTATGGTGTGCTGGATAAAGCAAAAACACAAAATGGATCTTCATTGTTGTTTCTAACTCCTGCAGACGTTTGGTAAAGGAAGACTGGTCGCCATGTACGCACCCAATGAGCCGGTGTTGGACTACAACATGGTGATCATCTTTTTGATGGCAGTAGGAACAGTCGCCATTGGAGGTTACTGGGCCGGCAGCAGAGACAGCAAGAAGTAAGTGGAACCTGACATTCAATGTGGCCAATCACCTCGTGATTGTGAACGCTTAGTTTGGTTTAAGGGGAACAATATACACAGAAATAACTCTACATAATGTGCAGGTCATTACAGGCACTGATGCACTGGATGATAAACTAATTTAAGCTTTTATTTTTTTCAGAATAGAGGATAAAATCAGTATCTGGGTTTAAATAGATGTTTTGTATCCAAACTGGAGATTAGTCCAAAAGTAGTGCAAGTCTTTTTAGGGACATAAATGGAAGTTGATGCTGGTTCTAATGTAATGTACCCGATTTATTTTCCACTACATAACATCATTACAGGACACAGTTTCCTTCTGCCTCTGCTTACAGGGCTTTTAGTCCTGACGACTAAATTTAAATCAAAGTTAATTTATCTGGGGAGTCATCTCCAGGGAAGATTAGTCACTGTTTTCTTGGGAAAGAACTACGAGCGTACGATTTCTCCGTCTTTTGTCTGTGAGGAGCGTGTTGTCTGCGTTGTACCGCTGCAAGGGCCGTGTTGTTGATTTGAGGCTGTTTCGAGTGACTCATCGTTTTGAGCCAATCTGAGTCAGTCCTTCCTGACAGAGTTGCCAAGGTGACTGAGGGCACAGAAAGATGGGGTTTCTGACGCACAGGACCAGGGGCAAAAAAAACCAACCCATTTTGGAAACAGTGTTGGGAAGGAAGTGAGTCCCGGGCCAGGCAGCTAAATATTGACTGTGGATGTTAGGAAGATCATCCTGGCTGCTCTGGCAAATCCCCAACCTTCAGTGAATACTTTTTAATAAAACAAGTGAAAGTTAAACCCCAAGAGGCTGGCTAACTGCATTGATCTCTCCAGTTATGAGCGTCCCAAACAAGCCTCCTCAGGTCAGCCCGTCTGAATGTGGTTCCTCCTCCTGCAGACGCTACATGAAGCACAAGCGGGACGACGGTGCGGAGAAGCAGGACGAGGAGACCGTTGACGTCACCCCCATCATGATCTGTGTGTTCGTGGTCATGTGCTGCAGCATGCTGGTGCTACTCTACTTCTTCTACGACAGCCTGGGTATGATGGCCGACAAATACTCAACCACCGACGATCTAAACGCACGACATATAAATCTCAATATGCTGATTAAAGATACTCGTTCACACTGTGAAGCTCTTTCATCGGATCCTAAACATCGATAGTGGTTTCAGTCCCGTCGGCCCAGTTTTTATTGATGTGCTCAAAGACAGTCTGTGTCTTTCTCCTCACTGATTGTGGTGTGGCCTGATTCAATAATCCATTTGCATGGGATACAGGCTGTGAAGAAATATGGTCGACCATGTTTTCCTTGTGTGACAAATAAATTCACATGTCAGCTTGCTAGGTTTTATTGAACTGCATCTCTCAGGCTTCCTCGTTAACCTCGACTCAGATGTCACTGCAGCTTCTGGCACCTGATTAAAGAAGCAAACCACTTGCTGGGCTGCTATTTGTCTTTTAATAGAAGACATTTGTATTTCTTTTAATTTTGTAACTTAATGAAGTGGTTGTTTGGAAACACTGTTCTGGGAACGCCTCGGGGCTCCCAAGGAAGAGCTGGAAAATGTTATTGGAGGGAGGGGCGCCTATATATATTTAAAGTAAGGTAGTTGCAGAGTTCTATTTGTAACTGCAATGCCTCGTTTAAATGGAGTTTTTTGTTTTTGAGAAATAGCATGTTATCACTGCCCATATATTTATATCAATGTTTTTCAGCAGCCGAGAAGCAGGATGTAGAATAAGAAGATTTCTGTAGTTAAAAGGCCATCTGAGCAAATGTTGGATCACAGAGTAAGAGTACTTCATTCAGCTTAAACTCAAGCTACAGCAGATACTTCCTCTAGCAGAGCTGCTCAGTGTCCAGCTCTTATCAGGCTGTAGATGCACTTTACAGATCTGAAGACCGAACGTGCTGTAAAGGAACTTAATGGCCCAGCTAACGCTTCACTGATTAATAGATTTAAAACACGGGCAGCTGCTGATGGACCGCTCAGTATCTTTGATCACCACAACACGTTAAATACTGGACACACAGAGTGGTGAAACTGGGAGCAGCTAATTCGATATTTAAGGACTAAACACACTAAAATATTTCCTCAGTAGAATATAAGTGGATGTCGTGATAATAATCTGCCTGCCTCCACTGTTTCCTCTCTGTGTAGCCATTTGGGTCATAGCCATCTTCTGTGTGGCCTCCTCTGTCGGCCTCCACAGCTGCCTGTGGCCTTTCGTCAGGAGACTCCCGTTCTGCAAGTGCAGGTGAGACTGTTCACATCAATATGGTATATAAACTGTTGATAGATGTCTTGGTTATATGTATTGATTCGTGGACCCTCTTATGACCACAGGGTTCCAGAGAACAACTTGCCATACTTACACAAACGGCCACAGATCCGCATGTTGTTGCTGTCGGCCTTCTGCATCGCTGTCAGCGTAACCTGGATGGTGTTTCGCAATGAAGACCAGTATGTGCAAAAAGGACAAAGTGTCAAATTCAGTCACACAAAATATATCTATGTATTTTTTTTAGGACAAGTTGTTTACATTTTAGTGTGTTGCCTGTGTAGCTTTTGAGGATTTGTCTGAGCAATAAACTGTGTAAGTCCTTCATCATTTACAAAATGATTTACCATCCTGGCAGAAATCATTGGGGCTGCATATGCAGTCAAAATAATTTGATTTATTCTTTAAAAGGATTGTATTTTCAACCGCAGCACCAAGACTTTTGGTGTGAGAGCACATGGACTCCATTGTGGGTGTTGCTTGCTTGTTGTGTGTTAGGTGACATAATGGCAGCACTGTTCTGTGCACGTGTGTGATAATATGTTGGCGGTACATCAGATGATGTTGGCTGACTCACCGTCTTCTTCTGTACCCTCCAGGTGGGCGTGGGTGTTACAGGACGCCCTGGGGATCGCCTTCTGTCTCTACATGCTCAAAACAGTCAGACTCCCCACATTTAAGGTGAGTCAGCACTCTCAGAAATATGAACTGTAACAACGTGGAAGGTGTTCTGAATATTACATGTTTGGCTTATGTTCGCTGTGACCTCACCTGATGGAACTTTCTGTCTCTGTCTCTGCAGGCCTGCACCTTGTTACTGTCCGTCCTGTTTGTCTACGATGTTTTCTTCGTATTTATTACACCCTTCTTGACAAAGGTATGTCTATGCTGTTTTCAGTGTATTCAGATGTCTATGGTCTCCGTTACTGTGTGCCATACTTACGTTCCTCATGGCTCCCCCCCCCACCCCCCACAGAGCGGTGAAAGTATAATGGTGGAGGTAGCGGCTGGTCCCTCCGACTCCTCCACGCATGAAAAGGTGGGCTTGTTTTCAAATTCCACAACTCCCTACGGGTGAGTGGGGTTGGCTATTCCCAGCTCAGAGCGAGTAAAAATAAAAAAGTAGTTGATAGTAACACTAATGCTCGTTTCCTCCAGCTTCCCATGGTGCTCAAAGTACCTCGGTTAAACTTCTCTCCCCTGGCTCTTTGTGACCGGCCCTTCTCCCTCCTGGGCTTTGGCGATATCTTAGTACCAGGTAATAAACGGTGTATAAACAATAATAATAAACTGTAATGTGAGATTTCTTTTTATGGTCACAACCAGAAAATCATTCAACCAACAATGACCACAATAATGCCTTTGTGAAAGATTTTATTTTTGCTTATCTGGTGTATTCGGACATATCCAGATATTGTAAAGTGTAGGGAAACACTGAGTACACCTGAGTGCTTAAGCTCAGTATGCTGAAACTTTGCTGACTACAGTAGTTTCTCCTGTTGATTTATCTGAACGCCTCTTTCTTGTTGTTTTTGTCAGGTCTGCTGGTGGCGTACTGTCACAGGTTTGACATCTTAACACAATCCTCCAGGATCTACTTTGTGGCCTGTACAATTGGTATGTACACGGACGGGTCTTGTGAGGGTAGAAATTGCCGAAATGTTGGCGTTGTGTTACGATAAGCCCCATTTGTACGGGATCAACGTTACATGTGGGGAACCAAGTATTCACTGTGCTCGTCTGTAATAAGCTCATTTAAAAAAAGAAAAAAGAAGAAGAATCGTAAAAGTAAGACAAGCGTCTCTTCCTACTGAAAAGAACCTCAGAGATCCACTTTAAGATAGAAAAATGTGGCTCCGGGCAAGATTTAAAGTACAAGAGGAAACAGTCGGTAATGCGGCTGTAATTATCAATTAATTTACATTTAAAATCACTGAGCAGGAGAAGGTAATGTTAATCCCCCCCACCACCCCTAGAGACTGAACTTTAAAAATGTTGACCGTGTGTGTGTGTGTGTGTGTGTCTCTCCTGTCAGCTTACGGCATCGGCCTGCTGATCACCTTCGTGGCCCTGGCCCTGATGCAGATGGGTCAGCCGGCCCTGCTCTACCTGGTGCCTTGCACTCTGCTCACCAGCCTCACTGTAGCGCTGTGGCGCAGGGAGTTGCCCCAGTTCTGGACTGGAAGTGGATTTGTGGTGAATACCAGTTTGATATGACCGCCTACTGCCGAAGACCAAAACCAAAACAAATCAACAAAAAGAAAAACGCACAAAAAAAAAAAAAAAAAAAAAAAAAAAAAAATTCTAGTGTTAACATAACATGCAGAGTAAAGTAGAATCTTAAGTTGAGTAAACCCTTCAAATAATTCCATCCGTTCCAACTGCCTCTTTCTGTTTTACTGTCCACCCCCCCTTCCTCCCTCCCTCCCCCCCCCTTCCTCCCTCCCTCCCCCCCCCTTCCTCCCTCCCTCCCATTGCTGCTCCTTTATTTTACTGTGTGCTCTAGTCTGCTGCTGAGGGCTCAGCTGTCTGTGAATGGCACTGCAGGTACTCTATTTGGGCTCCTTTACACTCTACCATTAAACATCTTGGTGTGACTGAAGGTCCCTTTTTTGTGTTTTTTTTTCCCTTATGAGTAGATGTTTGTTTTTGTTTTTTTTGCACACCCCTGTTATAGACTTGTGGTTAGCATCTACTGAAGCTAATGTTGGTGGTGCTCATAGTGATTGAGATTAGCTCACATTATTTCCTACAGAGTTAGCATGTGTTTTCTGTGCGGTGTGTAGTGGAACTCATCCCTGTGGGTTTTTCTTTGCTATGCTTCTCCTTTCTTTATGCATATCTGGGACTTTTTATCTTTGCGTACAGGAATACCTCTGACAACATGTAACAGGGGTCCATACAGCCCGTAGACAGAGGAATAACTGTATATTCTTTGGTTTTGTTTGTCCTATCTAAGGCTTTTCTATCTTCTGCTATCATTACATTTAATTTTCTACTCCACACAATTCAGCCATCTTATATAGACCCTGTTTTTGTCCCCTGCAGCCTGCCATAGTGCTCGCACCGATCAACTGTACACAAAGTGCAGCGCCGCAGACAGACGATCACTTGACTAAACCGGAGACAGAAAGCACAGAAGAGGACTCGCCCCGTTACCCGCCTCAGGACACGCTCCCAGCCAAGAAAGATGAAGTGGGAAACAAATCTAACTGAAAAGACGTCCAGTACAGCATTTTACATTTCACGTCATGCATTATTTGTTGTTGAGTTTTTTGTTTTTTTTCTGCATCGTGTCTCAGTCAACGGGCATTTTTTAAGTACCGATGTTTATTTGCACTTGGTGTGAAGGGAAGAGATGAGACCTGTGCTCTCTGAATGGCTGACTCAGCAGAGCGCCAGGATTGGACACACGAGGTCGGGGCATCGAAACTGACGAACACATCGAGTATAAAACACCTTCTATTACCAGTCTGCACTCTCAAAGCCAAATCTGGAAGCTACACAAGCTTTCAAACACTAAATGCTCCCACGACACTAAGCTGAGGCTCTCAACGGCTTTAAAGGCCCAGTCACAAGAAGCGACATGTAGGAAAAACAATGAATCAATGCAGTAAGTGGATTTGTTCACAGGGGCGAGGTAACGCCACACTAGTTTTTCAACTTCGGTGACGCATTATAATAATAGGCAACATCTTACTTAACCTCCTCTGAGAGAGCAAGCTGCAGCTATTAGTCGATCAACAGAAAATTAACCAGCATTTATTTTAATAATCAAATCGGTGTTTCAGTCTCTTTTTTTTTGGAGCAAAACGAGAAAATAATTAATCCAAACTTGGATAATCGACATACTAATCGATAATGGAGGTAATAGTTAGATGTAACCCTACAGTCATGAGATGGGAGTCAATGGCACAAAACGACATTTTAAATCAAATGCGTATTTCCCTCTTCAATAAGTCTTCATCAAATGAAATGGTGTACTATCTTAACAAGTTAATGGTCCAATAAAGATAAAACAAATGAGCTTTGAGATCATTTGTGACAATAGCGGCAGCATGTTTTGGGCAGGCTAATGTGTTAGCCGTTAGCTCACCAGCTACAGTGGTTCACCTACTAGTAGTCACCAGGCCTCTCAAATACTTCACTGTGCCATTTTCTGGTGTGACAGGGCCTTAAAAGTCTCAGTATGCTTGAAAAACCTGTTCTCAAACACAAACACACACTACATAAGCCATTATACCTGTTTTTACCTCCATTACACCATAAACTACAGTGTCACAGTATAAAGTACAGCGGGGATAGCAGAGGAGTTTCTTTAAAATGACTGAGCCAAAGCTATTCGATTTTCTTTTTTTAAACATTTGTTGAATTTTTCTCATCTTACTTTTGGTATATTTTCATTTGCATGCTATGATTTTGTCCTTTTTATATAAAACCGGTGTATAATCTGGTGTGACAGTTAAAATGTTGGGATTGCTGTTTTTGTTCTCCCCGGTATTAATCATGTTGTCTTAAGAGTTGGTTTCAGCCTTACTGTGTCCGTGTCGGGAGGTAAAGTAGAAGAAGTCAAGTGTAACAGCTGCTTTAAAAGTACTGAACTCTAAATGATGCGGTGTTGTAGTTTAATGTACGCGCTGAGGAGCGAGTGACGGGTCGTGTTACCGATGTCCCTAGATTAGTTTGTACGAAGCATTTGCACAATATTTTTTAATTCACGTATACAAAAGTTGTTGGTTCATGTCTGTATATGTTTATGTACACACAACGGGTTTAACTTTAAAGAAATGGAAACCACGGTATCCTTAGATCATATATTCACTCTGCTTTTCTTATGAAAGTCCACTTCTGACCCGAGGGTTTCATCTTCGTCACCAGAGGCCAGCAAGCACTTTGCTCTGTGAGCCAGATGTAGTTCTGATTCTCACTCATTTATGATGCCTATTAATCAAGTTCAACATCCCCGTGTGGAAGTCGAGGTCAAATGTTGAAATAAATAAAGAATTTGTTCCGAGGTGACATGAGAGCAGCTTAGTTGTCTGGACTGATTCAACAGCAGTGTTTTCCAGGACATGAGATTATTCATTCACCGGTATAGTTTGTTGTCACCAAGTGGTTTTTGAAGCCTCTGTTGAGGAATACATATAATAAAGGAACATTGTATTTGATATTTAGTGTGCTGGGTTTTTGTCACACAACATTACATCAGATTAAGTCTCTAGTTTACAGGTTTTGATTGGTTCCCAACAGCTTCGGTCAGGATGGCGTCCGTGTTAGTTTTCAGATATCTTGACGCCAAACACAAATCATTGCAGTGGTTTCTGAGTCTGAATGTGTCTTTTCATCGAGACCATCCAGCTGTGAAAAAGGTCCACTGCTGTTAGGACTGCAGGAATGAACAGCAGTCTGACAAAGAGCGTCCTTGTTGCCTCAGCTCAGTCCCTCAGAGTGGAAGAGTTCTTCATATACTGGATCACTATCTGACCCACTACCATGCTTCTTTTTAAATATAGGCCTCCATGTAGTCCTGGTTTAAAATCACACACTATTACTATTTCCTGCTTTCATTTTACATCCTCAGGTTTCACCTGAGCGGTATACGAGACAAATCACACATGCTAAGAACATTTCCAAGGGATTAACACATTCATTCAACAAGAGAAATTAAGTGAATTTATCCTTTAAAAGTTCTGGATCTGATCAGCCAAAGTGATGAACGTGAGGGTGCGTTAAATTGAGATACTTTGCTGGATAAAGGAAACGACCGGAGCAAGTAAAAGGTACCTGAATGCACCTCGACGTCACTCAAAGTTTTGAGTCACCTGCAGGTCAGTATCTTTAAAACAGTTTTAGGTTTTCTTGGAGTCAATCCACAAAAAAACTCAAAGCTGTCAAGTCAACCATCTTTTTATTCCTGACCCATTAGTTGGGACTGGGATTAAACTTTAAACGGAACCAAAAAGAGACAGCGGTCAATCATCAACATAATGTTGAATCATGCCAGAACATTTTTTTTTAAACAGGTAATGTCACTCACAAATAGTTCTCTTTCGTGCTCATAAATGCTTCTGGCGGTTATCTGGTTGTAAACTGAAACAAACCTTCTGTCACCGTCTCTAGTGAGGAAGCGCACACAACAGCTGACTACCAGTATTAACAAACAATAACGCGTAGTTTCCTCCACACACCCCATCGATCCATGATTTGAATACAAGTTGTACCGCGGAGCAGGACCACTGCACACATTCCATGATCACCCGATTCATTCTGAAATAAAACGTTGGTGCTTGGCACCTTCTATTTAAACAGACTTCGTCTTTATCGTTCATTCAATTAAAATGAATGCATTTGAGTTAAGACGCAAGTGCTAATGCTGAACCTACTTCCATTTAAAATAAAAATGATTTAAAAAAAAAAAAAAAAACTTTGGCAACAAAAGGTCTTGTACCATCTTCTCTTAAAATATTATCTTCTCTAAAGTATTTCGGTCAAGCTTTTTACATATTTTTGAACCTCCAAGACAATTTTACATATGTTTATAAATTATGTCCATTAGTATTTCTTCACTTTTTTTCCCCTGTCCAGCTAATCTGAACACAAACAGCTGGTTTATAGTAATAAAATATCATGATACTAACTGTCCTCTTCACACTGGACACACATGGACGTCATGAAGTCATGTCCAATGTCTTTCAACAGCCCCATCTGTCTCTCCAAGAGTAAAAGTCCTCATCCGAACTCCAGTCTGTAGTTTATGATTAAAGGAATGTTACCCTCTGTTTGTCCGCATCGAGAATATCATCAGGAAAAGGAGGCGGCGGTGGTGGAGCGTCATCGCTCCTCTTGTTGGTGCTGAAGGACTGAGATGTTTTCACACTGTGGATGAATCCTGGTGGGGTGAAGGCACCTGAAAGGGACAATACATTTAAAAACAAATCTCCCCGACCAACCCTGTACCGCATAGATGATCTTCTCATCCAAGTGGGAATTATGGAACTCAAGCATATATATACCAAAATGCCAGAGGATTACTTTAAAGTGTTTAAGTGCAAGAGTGTATTCGTAGATACCCATATATCTTAGATAACAACAGATGTGTTTCGCTCAACACTCTGTTCACTCTACAATCAGATAGATATTTACAAAGACACTGAACTTCTTTCTATTTTGCCAATATTGACTACAAGTGGAAATCAAGTCAAAGAGTACAGATGCACTTGCACCATCTTCCCGCTGTGGAAAACAAAACGAACCTGAACTCACTATCTCTTTCTCCCTCATGTTTGGCAGGTTGCTGACTCTCCACAAGAGGGAGCTGCTCAGTCACTAACCGGTTCTACACATGCCGCTCTACACCACATGCAGGAGTAGTAGCTGCTGCAATTTTAATCTTTGTGCAGCTGCCGTTTTTTTTTTAGGTTTTACATTTCACACCTGTTTTTACCTCTCAGCTACAATACCATAATTATTCAATAATTAGTCGCCTCTTCCGAGTCAACACCACAGGGGTCAGTGAGTGTTCGATTCTTTTGAATAGACCATCAATTCAAATCAATGGTGGGTATCACATGGGTGATGTCTTTATGTGTGAGGGAGAAGACATTCGAGTGTCTGCACCTGATTGGTAGATTCTCAGAGGCCTGCTGTTACTTTTGGCTCTCAGACTGCCTCCTTCTTTCCCGGTCACTCGGATGGGCAGCATCTGGTTTACGTCTATAGAGGCTGGATGTAGAGAGGCAGGGCTGGGGTCAGGGTTGCAGGTCGTCACATTAACTAAACCTTTAAAGGCATTTCATTCTGAAGGCTGATTGAGCTTCTCATTTGCTTGCTGTGGCGCTAACAACTGGCCCTAAAACTTCAGCTGCAGATAAATGTTTCAAACCAATAAATATCTAAATTAAGCAGTTTTGGTCACTGTCCAGCCTTCTCTGTCTGTCCACAATAAACATCACCTGATTTCTTTCTGAAGTCTCTTGCATGCTCTAAAACACCAGTTTTATATACACAACAATTTAAAACTCAAATGAAGCCTTGTACTGAAACACAAGGAGATAAAGTTAGCGGGCCCGTGTCCTGACCTGCACTGTGCGTTCTCTGGTGGGACCCCTTCTTCTTCTTCAAGACTTTCTCCTTTCCCTTGGACAGAGCAGCCAGCTTGGTGGGGATCTGCTGCTGCACGGACACAGGTTTGTGCACCTGTTTGGTGGTGCTGATCAGGTGGACTGGCAGCTCGGGCTTGGCGTGCATGATGCTCTCCCTGCGCGGTGGAACCTTTGGAGGAATTTCCAAGGAAGTGGAGTTTGTGGGAAACAACAAGTGGGTCTTTGGAGTTAAGGTCCCATCTCCGTTCACTATGCTTCCTCTGAACGACTGCTGACTGGAGAGACTCCAGAACTAGAGAGAGAGGAGATGTTAAGGATATATTTATTTCTGATTATGTTATTTCATAAGATTTAAACCATCAGTGTTATATAAACTTTGCTGACTTAATGTTTCTTGGCTAGATTATACTTTGTAATGGACAAATGAATACACCAATGTGTTGATAAATGTCAATCAGATGCTGATCCTGTTCCTCACGTGTGCAGGATCATCATAGTTCCCTGGGTAGAACTTCTTCACTTTCTCCTGCAGCTGCTCCAGACGCTCCCTCTCCTGATTTAGTCGCTCCTTGTCCCGGTCTACTGATCTCGTGGACTCCCTCAGCCTCTCCAGGTCCTGCTGATAGCTTTCCTTCAGCCCCTCCAGCTCAGCCCTCTCTCCGTTGAGCTTCTCCTCCCACCCTCGGCAGTCCTCCTCCCTCTTTTGCAGCTGAGCCTCAAGGGTCTCAATCTGCACCCTCTGCTGCTCCTTCTCCTTCTCCCAGCGCTGCTGCTCCTCCCGATGCTGGACCTGCAGCTTGCGCAAGTTGGAGAGCTCCTCCTTCTGCTTCTCCGAGTTGCGCCGCTTCTCCTGCTCCAGCAGCACGCTATTGTAGTGACGAGCGGGCTGCTTGCTCTTTGTCTGAAAAGCGTGCTGCAGCTCGATCTGGCTGTCCTGCTGGGCGATTATTGCCTGCGCGTTGAAGAATGTGATATAAACATGAATGTGAAACATATTTTGTGTTCTCCTACATTAGATTTCATATATTATTGAGGTAGAAACCATGAGGCATTCTTTTCATAAAGCACAATTAGTATGAAATCAACACTATTTGTCCAAAAACAACAACTAGAAACCTGATGCCTGCTGAATATAATATATACTGTATGAAGAGCATTCACAGTGTCTTACTTCTAAGCTGTACAGCCTCTGTGCGAGCAGTATCACCCGGTCACACACCTACAGAGAAAAACAACAATGCACACCAAAAGACTTGCAGTGACATGTAAACATTTCTGTATTAATGAAAAGAGATTTAAAAACAGTAGTGGAAGGGTTACCTCTGCCTCAGGAAAATGACAGTTTGGCATCTGTGTGTCGTCATCAGCCTTGAAGCAAAATAGCACAAGCAATGTAAATACCTGGTGTTTTTATCACCGGGTGGAAGTAATGTTTACGTCCGTCTCACTCACACACTGTTGCAGGCTCTCAGAGCTGTAACTCTCCTGGAGCAGATGGTCACTAGTGGCATGACTGCCCTCGCTGCCAGCTGCATCTCCATCTGACAAAATTAAAATCGTAAACATTTAAAGTCAATAACTTTCACATCTACAATATGAGCAGAGTGAGCCAGATTCTGCCGTAAAATTGGGCTTGTTGTGAGTTCCAAAGAAGTACTCATGTCAGAATGTCTTGTTATAGATCACATAAGTTAAATAAAACACACACATCGTTAAATATATGAGCCGGGTTTTACTAAAACTCACAAAGCTGTCTTCTTTTTTAACACGCCAACTAGAAATGTAATGTCATGACTGTGTTAGTTTTATGTCAGCTTACTTTCAGCAGGGTTACTTTCAGCAGGGTTACTTTCAGCAGGGTTACCATCAGCCGCTCCAGAGGTCTCGGCCTTCCAGAGCAGCTCCTCCTGCGTCTCACTCTCCTCCAATAGAAGGTTTGGGTCTTTTATCCTTGTGAAGAGCAGGTTCTGCAGGTTTTCCACTGCAGACAAAGGAGAAAAACAAAAACAACTCCTTTAAGGTCTCCTCCTCCAAAGACATCAGTGCTGAGTCACGACTTGGCGGTATAGGAAAACATAACAAGAGTATATTTCACCTTTGCACCTCTGTTATGGCGTTTTCATAGCTAGCCGAGCCCAGAATAAATACTGAACACTCATTATTACAACCATGATGAACAAGGCTTCACAAAACTGAGGGCAACTTAAGTTAAAAACGGAGCTCTGACCCTCATTGATGGCTCCTCTGAGCAGTGTCGTCCCCTGCTGGAGGTCAGTGGCGTCTCCTCGGAGCAGCAGTCCTTTGTGGGGGGTTTCCTGCTCCGTTATCGTCTCGTAGAGAGCAGCAAAGATCTGCTGCTTCTCTGTCAGACACTGGATTATCAGCTCATCCCTCGTTTTAAGATTATCTAAAAAAAAATAAATAAATAAAAAATAAAGAGTAGCAGCATTAAATAAGCAACATGTTTGTCCAATCAATGCAGTAGAAATGAGTAAAATAAATTGATCGGTTAGTGCTTTCCCTCGGTTTTTGGTAAAACTCAGGCACACTAGTGAGCCGTTTGCTAAAGCGTGTGAGGATAGAAGCGTTGTGCACCACCGGGACTTTTCTTTGGTGGGAAAGATAATTGACTGAATGCGTGTCATAGCCGAGAAATCTCTTCCCATAATCGTATTTTAAATTGTGTAAGAAAGAGTACCTTGAAATCGTTGCAGTGTAGCAGTCAGTTCAAGGTACAGCTCCTCTTCTGGAAAGCTGAATCACACAGACATTTCACCAGTTATATGTTTTTGTTTTTTTTTAAATATCATTTCTCCATATAAGAATGTTCTCTTTATTGTGCTTTTGATTTTTTTTTTTTTTTTTATCTCATATTGTGGTATATGTAAGGATGGAATTATTTCAGTCACATACGGTCTTTGAGCCATCATCAGATGGCGAATGCAACTAAAATGCAATTAAAAAAATAAAACTCACCTGTTCACAGCTTGTCGTATCAGCGCCGTCCACGTGATGCATTCCTCTCGGGAGCGCGCGTGGATCTCGTACATCTCCGGCGTGCTGGTGCATTCAGAGATCAGGTACATGGCTTTGTCCTCGTGAGCCACCTCTCTGACGATTAGCCTCTGAAGGGAGATCACCGGTGGTTTGCTATCCTGCGTGAGCCACCGTAGTACAGCAGGTGTTATTATTCGTGTTCAAATAATTATCACAAATCGGTCATAGATTATGACATCATATCGTGTATCTTGATGAAGTGATTTAAAGAAGAGAAGTCTGTGTCTTAGACTTAATATTGCTCATAATATGTAGAAAAAGAGAATGTATACATGATACAGTAGGTAGTGATTCAGCAAAAGACCTTCAGTTGAGTTTTCTATCATTTGCTCCATCTGTCTCAACAAGAATGACTCGAACTCACCACAGCAGCAAACACCAGCTTCTGATCTTTCTCTTGTAAGAGGAGCAGCATGTCTGACAGCAGCACAGCATGGATCTCTGCAGAGACACAAAACGTGGCTCAGCATCAAAACAACACGAGTGCTCGAGGTTATGACTCAAGCTGCCACGTGAAAGGACTGACTCAAGACATGAAGACATGTCTACTTTGCATGTTGTGTGACTTTTAATCTTTTGAGACCACGTAACGACATACAAATATGCTGCTATACTGGTTCTTTAATCGTTCTGGCTTTCACAAAAGGCAATTTGCTGCAAAGTGAAACCTCGTATTAAAACACACATCCCTATAATACTGCAGTAATCCACTGAGGCGTCAATCCCTTGATGCATCATCCCTCAAAATTTCATCAAAATCAGACCAGTGAGCACACGTACTGTTGTTGACCTCAATAAGGCAACGTGAAAGAGGAGCTTTTGTGTCATGAACAAAAAAGGGTGAGACTTTTAAGGAGGAACCTGAATGAGTAGAGAACGAGAAAGACTGCAGACGGTTCTATACAGGTGTATTTGTATGATGCGCTTGTGTTCCTTGTCGAGGTTAATATGAAGAGTTCTTAACTCTGTCTTGTTCTGCCACGTTAGCGTATGAAAAGAAGCCACGGACAAACGACGGTGTCACAAACCTTTTTGTCTCCCGGAGGACTTCCAGGTGAAGGGGCCTTCGTGTATCAGTGCCCTGTTCCCCTGGATCACATCCTCCCTGCGGAGCAGCCGGCCGTCCTTCAGCCGGCCCTGAGATTTGGGCTCCAGACGAAGGGCGATCTCTCTCTGACGAGCGGCTTTCTCGTATTCACTGACCTGAGCGTTCACCTGCGAGATGGTGTATTTGATCAGCGCCAAACCCTGCACCAGAGACCTGTACTCGTCTGTGTCAGCTGGAAGGAGCGTGAAACAGATCAATCGACCAGTCTTTTTATATATATATATATATATATATATATATATATAGTTGATATTATATACATGGGACCAGTCCAGCTAGCAAAACATTGACTATAACAACTATAGGGACTTGTTGAGATCTAGGCAAGGGATTAGATGATACCTTCAGTGTTCTGTATGAGTCGCTCCACCAGGACGGGATATTTTGTGATGCGTTGAGTCACCAACAGAAAACACTCGGGGATTCCCAACCGTCGCACGAGGGGAAGCAGACGTATTTTCTGTTAGAAAAAAAGAAAGGCTTTGTTTAGGTTAGGTTTTGTTAGTTGCATCATTCTTTGCAGAACGCCATCACTGTTGCTCGTGAAAAGTCTCGTAGATGCTTCTAATGCTCCAGGCATGCAACTAATTCACTTCAATGTATTCTTTTGCCAATTCCAGTGCATTTATACTGGAACAACACAAGAAAATCACATCCCTATACATACATTGAGCAACGTGTGAAGATTGCTCACCCCAATAAGGATCTGCATTTTCTTGTTATTCTGCAGCTGCTCTTTGTAGAGGCTGATGGCTTCACTGTGATGACCGCAGAATTCACTGTAACACCCCATCATTCTTTCTCCCAGTACACCTGAAAACTAACACAAAAGGGAGAAAAGAAAACATTGAATATATATATTTCTAGACAGGATTGAGTAGTAACAAATGTTTCATTGAGGTTACTGCCAATTTATGACTGAAAATGTCAAAATATCAAGATTCACTCTATTTTGGGAGAGGGAATAATGGAGGAAAGAGAGAAGCTGAGCACAAAGACTCCAGACCTGATGTGAACCAAAGACATCGTGGCTATGTGACGAACACTAAATGCAACATAGAATGCCATGATAATGTAAAAAGGAACCCAAAATATGAAAATATTGCCAATGCAGTGTATTTGGGAATATCACAATTGTTTGTCTTAAGAACATCTGGATAATGTTGAGCAATCTGTGTAGTCAATTTATGATCTTTTTGATCCTTTCTGGAGCTCCGAAGGATTGTTTCCAACTGTCTTCAGTTGTTTTAGAGAAGATTTAAATGGAGAAGCACCTAAAACCGCTGTCTTATGTTGAGATACAAACCTACAGACATCTTGACCTGAAGGCGAGTAAATTATGACAATTTTAAGAAGGTTTGCATCTCTCACACACACACACACACACACACACACACACACACACACACACACACACACACACACACACACACACACACACACACACACAAATGTTCCCTCTAAAACCAGCTAACCCGTTTTAATTAGAGAGACTCTCTTTGATGCAACACATCCATTTAAGACGGTGATTCTCAAAGTGGGGTCCATGATACTCGGTCAAATAATTATAAAATTGTACTACATCATAAAAAAAGTGCATACCTACAGATGGGGACCATTTGAGCCGATAAAATGAGCGTTTTGTGTCAGCTTTGATTTGATTGTGACACACAGCAATACGTTTATTATTTTTAAGTTGAAGTCAGCATTAGACTGCTATGTTTAAATATCTGATGCCAGTCACTTTCCAAAAGATCAATGAATTGAAACACAAAATCTCTGTTTAAAGATGTATAAGAGGTATTAACAATGCTTTGGGACTAATTTAACTGAACATGATTAAAATGTGTTTTTATCATTATGAAAGAGGTCTGAAGTGTTTCGGTCAGAAAGTTTTAGAGCATAAATAGCTCCAATGGCATCTAAAAGTACAAATGGTAGCAAGCATCTGCTTAATCAGCGTAGTCACGATTAGGAGGGGGTCCTAGGAGACTTCCTCCCCTGTAAAGAGTTTGAGAACGCCTGATTTAAGGAGATCAATTTGAGAGATTGACTGCGATGACTTACACAAAAGCCTGCTGTGGTTTAAAAAAAAAAAAAAGACTCTATCCTACCTGAGCGATGAGAATATCTCCCAGCTGTGTGATCTGGTAGTTGTGTGGGCTTCCTTCCTCCTGACTTTGGTGTTTGCGCACTTTGAGGCAGTCAAGGAAGTGCTGGTGGAGGACGAGCAGGTCTTCCACCCCAGGGAAGAGCCTCTCCAGCATGGCCTCCTCTATCAGCAGAGACTGCCTCAACTCGTGCACGTAGACATGGAGAAGGAATTTTAAGGTGCGCACGTGGTGCTTCTCCGTCTGGATCAACTCTAGGAAATTGATGAAGAGGGATGTCTTGATTAATACGTCTCAGGGTCGAGTGCCTGAAACGTACAGTAAAATGTGTGTGGGCTGCAATGACAACGATTGTATGCGCCTTGCTCAACAACGAAAGCGAACAAAGTCCTGGACGTAAGTCACCAGGTTCAAGCTAGCATAATGCATTCTTAGGTGTCATTATGCTTATTATCATAGTTGAAGTGTTCAACTTCAAAAGGCATCCATCAACATAATTATTGGCACGGTCACCTCAGATTATTAAATGGTGCAATTACTTTGTAGCAATCAGTGATCAAAGATTCCTCTTCCTCAACTGGAGATTGACATGAGAAAGTTCTGACACTTTGTGAGATCGTATATTTGATTTCTGAAAATATTTTTGGGTTTCTCTATTCACAGACTTCACTGGTTGAGCCTACCATGGATGACTTCCTGTCTCTTAACAGCCTCTTTGCTCAGGGCCCTTAGGTAGTTCTGGTCCACAGACACGCCCCACGACTCCGCCTCCAGGTTCTGGTGGTCGGACTCCAGCTCCCCTCGCAGCACAGCATAATGGGAATCTGGATGACACATAGAAATTCACACCGGGACTTGGATCACCCTAACGAGGCTTGTGCTTTGTGCTCATGTGGTTATGTATCTCAGTGATTCATTACTGGTCATGTACAAAAAGGTCTTATTGTTGTGGCAGAAAAGAGGAAGGTTCAATTCAACGAAAAAAAAGCAGTTGTAGCCGCTTGTAACTGTGGATTTTATGGCCATGTTTTATGAAAAATGCCACTGTCATTACACACTGATCTTTCTTTCTGTCCATTGTTGACAAACATGTGATGAAATAATCAGCGCTGAATGAATAGGTATTTTTGTGTAACGTCCAAGTCTGTGCCAAAAAGGTACAGGGAGCTTTCAGCAGCTTCTCATCCTGCTGACAGAGACGCACTGACCTTCTAGGTTGATGGGCTCAGCCAACGAGGAAGCCAGCAACACGGAGTCCTCGGGGACGAGCTTCGACCGGAGGCCTTCCACCTCATCCATCTGCACGCGACTGGATCTAGTTAGTAAGTGACGAGATAAAGCTCCACAGGTAAAAATGATGTCAGCGCACAAAGCTGCGCACGCACACAGTTCATTCTATTACAATTCAGACTTGGAATGTTGGCCCATCACCTGACTCAGAATCAGGTTTCGTAGCGCTTATCTCGATCAAGTTGATAAGGAACCCGGAAAAACATGCGACTGTTTGTTTTGTAGCCGAGAGTCAGCAGCCGGAATACAATCTGCATCATGTAGGAGCTAAATTAAGGACACCGTCTGTTGTATTGTGAATGTGGCCCGAAGACACAAAAAGGCACATGATGGAAATGAGTTCACCAACCTGGGACTTGTGTTGTTGAAAGAGGAACCAGGCTGAACTCTGTGTTTTTTAGGGGTGATGGTCATGCCTGGACTGAGGATGCAGGCAGGGAGGCCATGGGAGGCTGGGGGAGGGGGAAACGCTCTCCCCAGAGCTGTGAGTGAGTGAGAGAGAAACAAAAAGAGAATCAGAAAGAGAGAAAAGTAGACTGTGAGAATACTGTGTGAGAGACTAAAAGTAGGAAGTTTGGAAAAGAAGAGAAGACAAGGAATTACATTTACAAGGACTTAACTGACACAGGTACACACCTACTTGTAACAGTTAATTCAAACTCCCTTTAGTTTGTCTTTTCACTCTTGACATTTTTAGACCAATACCTGTGTAGACACCTTGACGGGAAATGTGCAGCAAAGTTGCCAGTTGTCTAAATACATACAGTAACATTTACACTCGTAAAAGAGAGCTCTTGTTCCTCAATGTCTTTTTCCAAATGTGTCCAGTTCACATCATAAAAACGAAATAATAAAAACACACAACAATAACCATACTTTTATTATTGGTTTTCTGAAAGCACGTGATTGACTCATAAGCCCTCACACAGACCGCTTACATTAAAAATAGAAAAAAGGGACTGTAAATAGAGAGAGCATATCGTGGCAAACAAAGACTAATCTAGCAGCGTGGAGAGGGAACTGGTTTGGCAAACTGTAACAACTCAAGTCAGACCAGCTGTCAGGCAGAGACACAACAAAAAGAAATAGTGCTACAAACCACAGGATTTATTACAGTGACGCAGGTACAGTTTCCGTTTGCACATACATGGATCAACACTTCCTATTCTACTTCAAACAGACATCACATGACACGAATGGCAAACGAGCTCTTATCTACTCCGCATTTTCCTCGACCCTGTGATACACGTCTCTGCAGAACGCCGGGGTGTGAAACCTCTAACAGGTGCCATAATAATAGTGACTGTTACATCCTTTCAAATCCAGCTTTGAAATTAAAGTGTGTCTCTTTTCTGTTCTTGAATGACAATCATCTCTATGTCTGTGACCAGGAATGACTCACTTTGTTCATATCTATACACTTCTGTTTATTATTTTCAGTGCTCCACAGTTTCCTTGCGACACTGGAAAACAATAAAGGAGGAAGAAACTCCTGCGGGTAAAAATGAGAGAGGGAAATGCAGAAGAAATAAAGAAATGTCTGATCGAATTTGGCTCCGACTATGACAGAAAGCAGAGTGTTTCCTGGTTTTAGTGCGGTGGCCTCCAGCTGATTGAGAGGAAGCAGTAGCAAAGCTTGTGGCCAACCAGACAGAAGGAAGAAGATTCTGTAACGTGAGCGGTAATTTGGGTGGTTCGTTGCTAAAAGACGTCCAAAAAAACCTGCGCTCTAACTGTATCGAAGCAGCAGTTGTTCAGAGTCAGACACACCTCAAACACACACACACATGACTGCTTGACTAAAAGGAGTTGTGACACAGGAGCTCTCCTGTCAAACACATCCTGCAGATCAATATCAGAGTTTGGAGCACATTGCTCAGAGAGGCTCACAGCAGCTCATATTCACGAGGGCTTTATATGCTGCATCATTTCAAAAAACTAAAACATCCCATTTTATTATTTTATTTGTTTGATATGGGCTATAATATAATGTAGATGACACTGTCACACCAGTGGACACATTTTTTATTTTAGTAGATTAATTGCCAAAGATCTCTTTTTTTTTGTTGAACCCAAAAGATAAAATTATGGAGAAGGATGAGTCGAGATGTGCAAATTTATATTAAAATATTCAACCGAAATTCCACGATGCGTCTACAGGCATCAACTAGTAAATTACAATTGTGATATTTGATTAACTGCTTAAGTCATTTATCAAGCAACACGACAGTCATGAGTCATGCTAGCAGTTTAGGCCCAGTAGTACTTTGAGCTAAAGCTAATGTCAGCATGCTACAATTAGCACGAAACACACAAAGTACAGCTGATGCTAACGGGGAGTAGCACTAGTTTTGAAGGTATTTGGACATAAAACATCTGACCAGATGGTGAAAAGTCAAGGGATCCCCACGGATGACAGAACAACCGTTGCATCTAATAAGTTGAAATATATCTGTTTGCCAGAGACGAGGCCATGAAGTTTAGCATATGCCAGAGTCACAAGTGTGAGGATGTGTTAATGTCACAGATTAAATGAATATATAATATATTTAATTGTTGTTTGCCGCCCTAGTCTCGCCTCAAAACTCTACCTGCTGATCAACCGTTTCTCGTTGTGTCCTGAAAACAAAGTCATGGAGGAGAACCACGATGTCCCAGTTTCTATTACAATACCAAAGAATCACACGATATTCACCATTACTGGTCTTTTCTGTTTCCATCTTCTGGGATAGAAACAGCAACAACTGTGCTTTGGACCTAACCGATCATATTAAAAGTATTTCCTATACACAAAATTGTTTACCATATGCTACATTTAAGATCTACGAAACGAAACACTTCACAGCGCCACTTGCTGAAGCACTTTTTCCCCCGATACTTATATTACATTACTTCCTTTGAAAGACTTGTTTAAAAAAAGACCCATGGTGTGTTATTAGCCATATTGTGGTTGGTATAAATATTCAGCCCCTTGTTTGTGAGTGACAACCACACCTAAAGTGATTCACCCACACTGGGCGGAAAGGGAACAGAGCAGCATGAAATACAGGTCATTCCGTGCTAGAGACAAAACAAGACCAGCAAGTCTGCCCAGTATCCTGCGGAGGAAACAAAAAAAAAAAAAATATATATATATATACACACTGCGTTTGTGGAAAGTAGTTTCACTTAGAAAGACATGGGCCCGAATCCCTTCAACGCCACAACAACAAGACGAGGAAAACTGAAGCTGGTGTTTTGCCTTGACAAGTAAAGTGAAACCAGGCAATCGACGATTAACAGCCGTGAAACTAAAGCCATTAGCCCGAGGAGGTCATAAAAGCTGACTGATACACAGAAACCAGTGATCCGTGTTGCTCTTGTTGAAGGCTGAATTTGCAAAAAAACAAAAACAGAGACATAGTGAAATCTTCCCTCAAAGCAAAAGGGTCTTGCTTTTACTCCATGTTGCCTTCACATCAACAAGTCCCGACACACAGTTGAATGATTAACTTCTGGATACTGTCGGTGTGTTTTTATCTTTAGTGTCGGGTGCTGTAAACGCATGCCGATGTGTTCCTGTCAGTACGAACAGGTGAATCCGTCCCTATGCGTGTAGTACAGCACTTCTTTACTCTAAACATATCAATCTGACAAGAAAATGCAGTCTCTTTAATGACTGGTCAGCATCAATGTCTTTAACCTCATGTAAGACTCTGGTCTTCATCAAATTTGAGCTCTTTGACTATGATTGCTGTCAATTTGTGATGAGCATTTTCAAACGCACGCGATATAATGTTTGTTGGATTTTTCTTCCTGTTTCGGGCAGCCATTGGTTAAGTTAATTTCCGAACAGTATGAACATCATTGTAAACTTTTTAAACTTGACTCACACTGAATATCTAGTCCAGCCTGCACTGCACTGGAAAGCCTCCTAACAATAGTGTAATTGTGCCAGAAGGATTTGATGTTCACTGTGATGAATTACAGGACAATACCATGTTTGCTGTCATATTGTACAGAAAATAATGGAAACCAACGGCTGCAAGGAACAGTTTAAATACTCAAGTTTCTAAAATGCAGCATGGTTTGCAGAATAGTTCCCAAACTATAGTTCATTCCTTTAATTTTGGGGAATTTTCCGAGCTGTTAATTCAAATAAAAATAAAGTAGGTTTGACGACATTGCCACAAAGGTTTTTGTGTTATCCAATAGAAGGGGATTGTAGGGAATGCCAAGGTGCTAACGTTAGGTGAGAGTCACAGACCTGGAGTCATAACATTAATGTTAGGTGAGAGTCACAGACCTGGAGTCATAACATTAATGTTAGGTGAGAGTCACAGACCTGGAGTCATAACATTAACGTGAGGCGAGAGTCACAGACCTGGAGTCATAACATTAACGTGAGGTGAGAGTCACAGACCTGGAGTCATAACATTAACGTGAGGCGAGAGTCACAGACCTGGAGTCCTAACATTAACGTGAGGCGAGAGTCACAGACCTGGAGTCCTAACATTAACGTGAGGTGAGAGTCACAGACCTGGAGTCCTAACATTAACGTGAGGTGAGAGTCACAGACCTGGAGTCATAACATTAACGTGAGGTGAGAGTCACAGACCTGGAGTCCTAACATTAACGTGAGGTGAGAGTCACAGACCTGGAGTCATAACATTAACGTGAGGTGAGAGTCACAGACCTGGAGTCCTAACATTAACGTGAGGTGAGAGTCACAGACCTGGAGTCATAACATTAACGTGAGGTGAGAGTCACAGACCTGGAGTCATAACATTAACGTGAGGTGAGAGTCACAGACATGGGGTCAGAACATTAACGTTAAGTGAGAGTCACTGACCTGGAGTCATAACATTAACGTGAGGTGAGAGTCACAGACATGGGGTCAGAACATTAACGTTAAGTGAGAGTCACTGACCTTCATCATAACATTAGTCACAGACCTGGGGTCATAACAGTAACATTAGGTGAGAGTCACTGACCTGGAGTCAGAACATTAACCACTGAAACTAAAGTGTAGAATGAGAGTAACACAGACAGGTGCTTTGTAATCGGAGCGGATAAAACAAACAGGCGTCAACGGCCGAGACATGATGGCTGCAGGTGACTAACGTTACCTACATGTATCCCAGCGTCTGTTATGGTTGGCTAATGGAGATGGAACGTAACGTTTTTGAGCTACTTACGCTCATACTGACAACGACAGCAACGTCAATTTACGGGACGTTGCTGTTATTTATTGCCTCAACCGTTCAAACTCAAAATTAACACGTAAAAGAAGAAATTCGTGTCAATTATCCAGATCAGACAGTTTGTTCTTTTAAGTAGGTAACCGCTTTAGAAACAACTCGTTTTCGCGATCATTAAGATAGTTGACGTTAGTTAACGTTAACAAACTAACGTCAACATTACGTACGCTAACATCACTATCTTCTAACGTGAGAGTTAGCTACCCAACGGCGGTTCATCAACTTGTTTTTCACGTCCGCCCTGTTGATTCAACAACCAACAAGAACCATTAAACAACCCAACAAGTTTCCTCTTACCCGGTGTGGAAATTAAGCAGCAGCAGTGCGCAAAGAGACGACTTCCAGTGTATTTCCAGGGCCAAGGCGAGATAGGAACCGAGGGACTAAATATCTTTCAACAAGTTCCACTAACAGGGAGAGGCGGCGAGGATGCCTCGGGAAGAGCAAGTGCAGTGATAGGCAATAATGGAGGGTGTTTAAAAAGTCCTCCCAGCCTCCTCTGGATGAACCCTCCTTCCTTCTCTAAGCATTGTGGGAAATCGTCCAGTTCACTGCAACACATTTTGCAGATTCATCCTACAGCAAGCCTCTCAGTCTGTCTTTAAACTAGTGCAGACAGGTGACATGTTTCTACTAATATGAACCTGCATGCTCTGCTGTAAGGCTGCAATTATTTGGCATTGATATAAATTAGATTTATTGTATCCCTGTAGGCAGAGATGGGCAGTATTTCTATTACTTGTATTTTAAATACGTATTTCAATTACTTTTGAGTATTTTGTAATTTGTATTTGATAGGGCCGATAAAAATGTCAGTGTGAACCTGTATGAGACACTTAACACTGTAATATAGAACTATGTGGCCTACCATGCCACTGGCCAATGTGAGAAATGAGTAGGCTACCATGCCACTGGCCAAGGTACAGTAAAAGAGAAGTAAGTACTCACTTGTTAAGTTACCTGTTCACTTTTGTATTGATTTACTATTTACCTTTTATTTGTATTCATTTTTCTGTGCAGAACTTGATGTAATTTATTTAGGCTCTTTACCTGTGTACAACTGGTTTTAATTATATATTTTGCTTTTATAGTATACATAGGCCTAACGTGTGATGCTATTCATACGTGATGAATATTTTCTTGTTGATACAAAGCCAAAGTTTATGGGCTGTTAAGTCTCATTAATAAAAATATATATATATATATATACATAATCAATCAAGTTGTCTTCTAATAGCTTTGCTTAGTTACACTGACATGTCTGAGACTGTTCTTCCTTTTTGTGGGCTTCACCAGAGCTTTGTGTACATTATATAGCCCAAACCTGAATGCTCTGCTATACCAAATTGTGAGAAAACGGAAAATCCAGAAAAAAGCATTTCCTATATTTTAAATACAAAATACATGTATTGTATTTTGTTACATTTTCTAGCACCAGTATTTTGTATTTTATTTTAATATATTTATTTGAGGGGTATTTTGTATCAAAATACATTTTGATGTATTTTTGCCCATCTCTGCCTGTAAACAGTGACACCGCATCCAGCAGGGTGGAAACCGGTTGGTGTGAAAACTGAGATGCTTTTTTATTTTTGCATAAATAGCTTTTCCTACATGGAATGCAGGTAGGAACCTAGATACTATTTAAAAACGACCTCTCTCACTTTGATTCAGCGTGCATGCTGTGATCCAGACATATTGAGATGGAGTATTAAGAGTGCAACCCTTCTCATATACAGTCTAGGAGTTCCACAGGTGATGGGAAACTGGTATCAGTATTGACAGCAGAGGCCGGGGAAGAGACAGTCATAATGATAAATGGACACTAGATTGAGAATATTCTGTCAACTACTATTTCCAGCATCAATAATGAAGTTTCAATCTTAACTTTTAAGTGCATGTCCATGATTCCTTAACAACTGGGTGACTCCACCTGCTGGGGAAGAGTGTGTGCTGCAATCTAAAGCTCCTGAGTGGACCATGTGCCGAGAAGGTTTAGTCAAGCAAAATCCCTAAACTATGAAACACTTGTACCTCTTCCACCTTGTTAATATGGAGTAGTTTGGTCCTTTAGTTGCATATCAGGTACATACTTTGATTTAAGTTGCATTTAGTGATCCCCAGACTGGCAGGTGGGAAATCAGGCCCTGACTTTAGTTGGACTGCACTGGGCCGGTGAATCCAGGGCCACAGCCAAGATCTTTAGAAACACAGAGGTTACAAATCCTCCTCGAACACAACTCTCTCACTTTGACCAGAAACCCAGAGGTCCCCAACATGTTTATTTAAATGCGTGGATTTTTCCATGTTCAGTTTCCAGCGTTTGTCAATGAAGAACGTTTTTTAAAAATATGTTTTAAACCATCCCCATATGCCCCCATGTACATTGAAATACTTCTTGGTCGCTAATGTAAGAGATTCTGGGACACAATCAAGCCCTCATTCGCAAAAATGCCTTTTTTTTAGTTTCAAAGATAACATGAAGCTTCAACAGTCCCGAGTTAATCAAATTAAAATACCGTGATTTTACTTCTATTTCCAAACTGCAGCTCAGCCAGAGAACCGGTCCAGCTGTTTTTTTATTCCCCCGATTGAATTGGGACGGCTGAAGTTAAGAACAAACAGAATGAGGACTTTTGGATTTTAATTTAAAAGTGCAAAGCTTGGCCTTGTATATACAATAATATAGTTACATGGAGGTTAGTTGTACAGCAGGCGGCATCATTGCACTAAACCTAATACATTAAAGCCGGCGGCATAGCAATTTAACATTATAACCAATTACAGATGATACCGTCGTTATTGCATATAACATTTAATATAATTTGATAAATTCTTTCGATTAATGTTCGACAGATATAAAAGTCACTGTTATCGGCATATATATTAGCAGACATACACATTGGAAATTGCTGTACATAAACATTTTATTGGTGGCACTTTGATTTATCCGAGATGTTGTATTTGAGTTCTTAATCATATGATTGCAATTCTGGAGAAAGTTATTCAGAATTAAATGTCATTCTCATAATCATCTGTGAAATATCAGTATGTAAAAGGTACATTTCCTTTCCTCTGTATATACCTTTATTAAAACTCTAAAATAATTGCCAAAAGTATTCATTTGTGTAGTGTTGAGTAGTTGTTTATAAAATTTCAATAAGTCAAAGGGTTTCTCTTTTATCCACAAATATCACAACTCACCCAGGCTCTACTTTGTATGTAAACTAGGTTTTAAATGTGTCACTGAGATAAAAGCACAACTTACCTTCACATATACACAGAACAATCTCAACATAAGCTGAAGAAGAAGACCGCCTTAATAAAACACGTTAAAATAACAGATTCACTACGGGAGCGTCTTCGTGAATGCACATCGCTGCATTATTTACAGCACTATTTTATTTGATCTTGATATGATGGGCAGACATCTTAAGCTGAAGACGCCAAACACTCCTTCTACCGGGCGCCGCGTAGCCAAAGAGACCAAGTGCTGTTGGTTGATCGTGAGTCCAAAAAAGCGAATTAGTATGATTCTCTGGATTAGAAAAAATAAACATAAGAGACTAACATGTAAAAACATTTTCTAGGACCGTAAATACCTCAAGAATGACAACATATCAGCTATGTACAAAAACATCAACAATATATTTATATATATATATTTATATATATATATTTTTTTATCTTCTATACCCACTAAAATATACCAAAGAAGCAGCTATTGGTCAATCTGAGGAACTCGTTCACCAACATGTTTTTGAAAACAGTTTAAATATCCTTCAGCTGAAAATGTGAACCCCCCCCCCCCCCCCCCCAAAAAAGGGAAAAGAAAAGAAAGAAAGAAAGACAAGAAAAATAAATTAAAAAAAATATAACCCAACAAAAGTTCTGTGTTTATCCTGTGTGCCATGTTTGGAATACTGCAGAGTGTGAGGAGGTAAGCCACTTCAACCAGCTTCTCCAGTGGATAAGAGCTTGTTCGAGGGTGGGCCGTCTTTGACCGTCCAACATTTTCCAAAGTCTACCGTCTTCGGGTTCGTCATCCGCTTGTGTACAAAGATTCAGACACAGGTCCATGACGATTAGAGTAGGCCACAGATATAGAATAGAAGGGCACTTTTTTTTTTTGCCCCCAAAACGTAGCAACCCGGGGGATGAAGCCTCTTGTTGAATCAGGGGAGAGGGACAAAGTCTGGGCACGGGGAGGGACAGTGGGGGGTTAGCAGCCTTCTTGTTTGTCAAGAGTTTGTTTCACAGTTGAATCCATGTATCCACCCAGTCTAGCACAAACTTGGCTATATATATATATATATATATAAAAGTGTCTTCTGGTATCCATGTGTGGACTTGCTGTAGTGTGAGTTTGTGGGATCTGATGAGAAAAATAAGTCCTGAGATATGCACTGAGGGGCTCCTGTAGAGAGAGTGCTACAAGTGTGATCTATATAAAATGACAACAAAACACAAAAATATATTCAAATCTATAGAAATGACATGTTTGCGCGGGATGTGCGCAGTGTGTTAGGAGGGGCTGGACCGCGGCAGGGCCAGTATTCGTCCGTTGGTCTTTCCCCCGTTCATTTGTGTGAACGGGATGTGGTGCTCCTCGTAACTGCCCCTCAGGCCCATCGGCGAGGCCTCGTCCCTGTCTGAACACTGTTCCCTCTGGGAGTAGGACGACGGGTCCAGCGGGATGCTCTCCATGTTTTCCATGTCCAGGTCAAAGTCTTCGGTCTCGGGCGGCTTGTTCTCCCCACTGTAGAAGAAGGAGACCTCCCGGAAGCAAGGATGCAAGTCCTCGCGCAGCATCTCGATGATCTCCTGGAATGCGGGACGCATCTTGGGGTTGTACTGCCAAGACATCTGCATCAGGTTATGTCTGGGTGAGGATACAGGGAGAGCGGGGTCACAGTTAGATGATGCTGATGTCTACATCTTACTTTGATCACCATAGTTATTCTTTCATAACGTACCTATTCTTGTTAACATAGTTGTCTTTCTGCTGTGGTTAAGAATACCAAATTGAATACAACTTAAAAGATACGGCTGTTGATAGTCAACATTGTTTTTAATGCCCTATAAATCCCATGAAAAGAGCAGAACCATCTTTGTTGGTATTGTCATCTTGTTTCTACGGCTACTTCTACGACAGCTTGTGTTTGTCAGTGCAGGCTGTTGCTTAAGGTTTCAGGTTACAGAATATGCAACTATTATTATTATTATTATTATTATTATTATTGTTCAATCTGCAGATTTTGTTCTCGATAAGTCAATAATTGTTTAGCCCCCCAAAAAAAGCCAAAAAACTGAGCAAACTGTCCTAAATATTTTCCACAATAAAAGATGGTGTTCAAATGTCTTGTTTTATCTCACCAACCATCCAAAACACAAAGATATTATATTTACAATTATGTAATAGTTAATGATACACTATGATAAGAACGAGAGAGAAGCAACACATCCTCACATTTGTTGAAGCTGGAACTACAGAATTTTTGCTTGAAAAAAATGAACTAGATAACCAACTGATAAATAAATTATCGAAATAGTTGGAGATCAGTTTTCTATTGACGAATGATATAACGAATACAGCGCTATTAAAGATTGTAAGACCCTCTGAGGGCAATTTGTGATTTTAAGCAATATAAACAAACTCACTGAAATCATTGAATTATTACAATACAACTCTTGTTTTCCTCCCTATCCCACCTCAGCCCTACTCTTGTACTCACAGTCTGTCGGCGCAGTTGTCTGGCCGGTCCAGGATGCCCCCGTCCATGACAAACTTGAGGACCTGCTCATTGGACAGGCCCTGGTACGGCTGCTCGGCCAGCGTGCTGATTTCCCACAGCACGACCCCGAACGACCTGGCAAACAAGTGGACGAGAGACAACAGCAGAGACACGGGGAGAATGAGGATGCGCCAATTAGACACCCGACTGAGTAAATGTGTCCGTGAACACTCGATGCAGTGAGCAGGTAGACTGAGGGCAGAGGCCGTGGCTGCAATGCTGGTAAACAACGGGTAAGCCACACACTCATGTTCTGATGTCATATTTTAACATTGTAATGTGTTTACTGTTTGTTATTCTGGTCTGCGGAATAATAATCTAATAATGACCTCGACAGGAAATGAATCGTCTCGGAAAATAGGTTTGTTGTTTGTTGACCAAAACGAAAAAGCTTAACACAATTATGTGAAATAATGTTTTAGTTAGGAAGTAGGAAAAATAGTATTTTACAAAGAGCAAAGTGCTACTGATGAGCTTGTAGAATCTTTTGTGAAGGTCCTCCACAAACCCAGATTTCTTAACTGTATAAGATACAGCTCGACACCAGCTGTCACTCCACAACATGTTATGCCGTATAGAGCATCTACGCCAACGCAAAAAACAACCCCCTAAATCCGAGGTGTCACTGACCAGCAGTCTGAATGTGCAGTGAAGACTCCGTCCTTCAGGGACTCGGGTGCCATCCACCTGACGGGCAGCAGGCCCTTCCCTCCCTTCCTGTAGTAGTCGGTCTCGTAGATGTCCCTGGTCATACCGAAGTCTGGGAGGAAAAGATTTTCATCAGTTGCGGTCAAACTTACACGGATGTTATTTGTTACAAAGCTTCACGTGTTTAAGATGCTAAATACATTTGAATACGTCATTTATTTTTAAGATGTTGAATAAATACATCTAATGACTTGAATTTAGCACCTTTATTTAAAGATACAGCATAAATGCATTGTTGTCTGCCATTGTTGCCAAAAACTCTCTGGTGCTGAGACTTACCTCCTATCTTGACGGTAAGATCGTGAGCTACCATGCAGTTTCTGGCTGCCAGGTCTCTGTGGACAAACTTCTTGGCGTTAAGGTAAGCCATGCCGTCTGCGATCTCACCGGCCATTTGGATCATCTCCTTCAGAGTGGGCGGTGGACGCCCGGGGTTGTTCTGGGGGACACAAGACAGATTTTTAATTTGTGATCTGATAACATTTAGCTTTTTTTGTTTGTTTTTTATGTCAACAGCACATGATTTTGCTGTTGAATTTGATACAGAGTTTGATACTTAAAAAAAAATATGACTTCTTAGACGGCATAAACTATAATAATCAGGCATATTATTGTCAAAGTTTCTGTGTCACGCTTGACTTTGTCTGGAGCCTGCTGTTCATCTCCACACAAGCCTGTTTGAGGTTTTCAGCCGACCTAAGTGGCGACTGCTAAACTCCTCTCTCAATATCCAAGAGCTCCCTCCTCCTCCTCCTCCTCCTCCTCCTCCTCCTCCTCCTGCAATCTGCATATGTACACACTTCAGGAGATGACACTGAGATGGAACATTAACCTACATACAAGGCATCTGTACACAAAAGTAAACTCAATGTGGAATTTTATATTGTCCAGTGGTAATTTAAAAAGGTACAACAGTTTCAGTTATTGTGAGAACGCCACACAAGTAGATCCATATTAGGCCACACAGTTCCTCATCTAATTAAATTACATCTGGTAGATTTAACCCTGAATGTCTGGGAGGAAAACAACGGATGGAGTGAAATGTGTCATCAGAAATTGTTTTAACTTAATTACAATCAAGCGGTTGATTCATTTAGCGGTGAATCTTTTTGCTTAGATAGAAGTTTGGGAACCACTGCGATTTTTCACATAGAGTAACTTAAGTCAAGTGTATTTTTAAAGCACCTTTCAAGATCAGACGTCACAAAATATCCAAGTAGATCCTAGTATTTCTCAGGGTGAGTAAAAATCAGTATAGTATAACACTACATGTGGTAAAGTCGTCCTGTTTTTTTTATGCCCTTTATGGTAAAGATAATCTCCCATGCAGAATTAAAAGAAATTTGCATACTGATAAGAATAATAACTAAGGACTGCTGCTCCTTTTATCGACACAAAAAGCAGAAGTGAAAAGAAGACCAGTGACAGAAGATAAGAGACTTCTGCATGTTTACTGTTGCAAGTTCACCTAAACCTAACCTAAAGCCTAAACAAATATTAGCGGTTCTTCTAACTCTTCAGATTGTGTTTGTGATCCAGAGGTGAGCGTTGTCATCTCGTTTACCTCAGCGTCAGGTCGCAGGGAGCGCAGGAAGGTCTTCAGGTCTCCGTGGGTCATCAGCTCCATCACAACCAGGGTGGGCTGGCCTTTAGACACAACACCCAGCAGACGCACCTGGGAGACGAGGGTTCATTTCAATATGGTCTGGTTGGATTACGGTATGTATTATCTGACGGACAGCAAGACGATGCTGCTGCTCTTCACACAGCTAATGTAGGACAGGTAAGGTATGTGCACATGATGGGACATTTAGTCTTTATTCTAGACCAGTACTGTGGGTATTACTGACCCAACACTTTTACATATGGTCAGTAAACAAATGCCTTGTGTTTATGTACAAGGAGTTTCAGAAGATGTCTCTTCTTACCACATGGTGGCAGTTGAAGGCCTTCATGACCGAGGCCTCGTTCAGGAACTCGATTCTCTCTCTCAGGCTGGCCGACTCGTTCACAGTCTTCACCGCGACGTGCGTGTCCCCCTCGCCCTTGATGATGTCCTTGGCGATGCCCTCGTAGACCATGCCGAAAGAGCCCTGACCCAGTTCCCTCAAAATGTTGATCTTGTCTCTGCCCACCTCCCACTCGTCCTCCTCATACACTGCAGGCACATTTTACAGGAAGGTTACATGTGCGGCTTATAAGGAGTAAGGACTGAGCTCACCGTCAAAGACGCTCCAACTCCTTTTCACTGGAACTTTAAGTTAAAAGAATAAGTGAATAATTGAATAAATGGCTTAAACTGTTTAAGCTTACCATCCATAGCACTGAGATACTCTGGATTTGAAGAGGCGTAGATGGGACCACTAGGCCCTTGAGTTTGACTGGAAGGAAACAGAGAAATGTATTTAGTTGTAACACTGACAAAGTATAACTATATAACAACACGAGTTACAGTATTGAACCAGATGTGATGATTGCGTACTTCTTCTTGAACATGAGGAATCCTGTCACAGACACAATCAGCAGCAGCACAAAGCAGATGATGGGTCCGATGACGATCTTCAGGACGTAGAGAGGATCACCTGTTCAACACAACCGGACAGACAGTGAGTCACATTTCACACATTAAACTGGAGCGACATGCGGCTCCGTGAAGCTCATCTGCTACAAGTACAAGTACAATTATTCGGTAGCATCTTTCGATCTTGTGATAATGTGGTTGGATTTTAAACATTTTGACAGGAGCTAATCCCTATTTAGATAAGAAGACATCAGCAATTATGAGGATAAATAAGAGCATATTTACAACTACAATAAGTGTGTAGTCATCTAGTACTCAAATTCAATATTCCTGCCACTGTTCAAGGCTGAAGTACAAAAATACATTCGTTCCATCCTCAATCAAAATATTAAATGGCAACAAGTAGTAGTAGCATACGATATGATTTCATTGGGAAATATAATATATTGCAACTTGATTATATATTATCTAATATTTATAGATGATATAGATACATTTATTATTTATTGGTAGTTCTTCGTTGGAGTCTACTGTGTCACACTCAGCATGTGAAGTTAAGCATATTTATGCAATAGTGTCTGTATGTATGATGTATGTTCTATGTGTGTGTATGTGCATTGTGACATTGTTGATAGGTGTTTTGTGATGCAGCTGCTTGGAGACAAAAAGACAAATTTCCCTGCAGGATAATAAAGTATATCTAATCTATCCTAACGAGAACATTTTGCATCTTACAGACGTGTGAAAAGAACAAATTAATTTCCTTCTAGACTGAAGCCGTGTCCAGATTCTAATCAGGTTTTAAGCACTCAGACTAAATACGGTCAATTTCTGTGTGAGGTGAAACTAATCAAGCTAATTTGCATTGCACAAAGGAAATGGAGGAGCTGCTAAGAACTGGATTTATTTTAATAAATTGTGTGTGGTTGTAAAACAGCTTAAAAGTCCAAAACCATAGGACTACATGGTAAGTTCTGAAAATATGTATTTGTTACTTGATTCCAGCTATCGGTTGTATTTCACTACCAAGTTAGCGCCATGGATGTCCATGGTTGGCACTAACGTTCCCCTCTTACTTTCCAGAAGAAGTACTGCCATTGGCTGATAAGCATGAATATTCGTGAATTGTGAAATACTCCAAGAAACACTCCAGCGGCTGTATTTATGAGAGTAAAGCGACGTGAAAATCTGCTTTGCGTTTGGTCTGAACAGACCTTGAGGAAAAACACTTTGATGGCTCTTTGTGCAGTTTAATTAGCAGTGGCTTTCCAAAGTTGCAGTTTGATTGACAACACGTACCGTTTCATTTTGTTTGTATAAAATGGCATGTTGGTATTTATGTGTACGACCTACTAAACTAATATTAGTATGTAGGACAGCTCAAGTTTGCCTTCATGGCAGAAGGAGACTTACTTGCGTCCTGGACGTAGAAGTACGTGGGCTCGGTCCAGGATCCGTTCCCGGCCAGGGAGGTGGCCCGGATCCTCACTGTGTAGTTCCCAGGATGCATCACTTTCAGCTTGCAGCCACGGGCCACTTTGTACGTGTTCCTTGACACGCAGTAGTGAAGCTCCTGCAGAAGAACAATACTGAGATTCAGGCAGTGGACAACAAATGGCTGCATTAGAATTTCCAAGTTTAAAATAACGTTTTAAATCTGTGTATTGGATGATGTTTCATGCTTTTATTCAATGTTTACACTGATGTCTTTTAGTTTCCACAGTAAATAACAGGCTGCAGCACGAGTTTTGTAGACTCTATAGCAACTAAAACATGGTGCGACGCTAAAATTACTTCTCCATCGAGTTTATCAATCATACGACATTAGTGAGACCACAAGACTAAATCTCAAAATACACGTCAACTAATAAGTATTGCCTCTCTCATTTGTTTGTGTTGCATGGGTAATTTCGAGATGGATGCATTTAATCTGATTCTCAGTTAAATTGTTTTTCATCCGTAGCTCGAGCTATTGTGTTTAATGAGAAATATAGGAAGTGCTTTCTGAGTAAGAATGTGTTTATGTGTTGTACTCAAATCCCTACAAAGACTAAAGAAGGCATGACAGATGTGGCTGCAGATGTGTGTGTGTGTGTGCGTTTCTTCACCTCCGTGTCTCCCAGTCTCTTGTAGTTGACCTCATACAGGATGATCATACCATTCGCGGACACCGGTTCTTGCCACGTGATGTGCACTAAATTTTCCGTCACCTCGTAACTGATGGGACCGCGGACGTCATCAGCTTTGTCTGTGGAGAACAAAATGGTATACAGGAATACTCCTCCACGCTGAGGCAGCTGGGACCCTCTTGATGGAGGTGTGATTTTATTACATAGACCTACGTCGTCCGCTTCCTTAGAAACAGTGAAAACCGAGAGCTGTGCCTTCTTACCTTCGGGCATTGTGCGGGCGCTGACATATGCTGCCATGCTGCAGCGGGCCGGGTCGGTCGGGTGGTTGCAGGCGTGCACCTCAATCTGGTAGCTGGTGAAGTGGCGCAGGTTGGAGATGACGGTGGACTCCTTGGTGTGGACATAGACCACGGTCTTTGTGCTTTCAAAGGCTTCCTCGTCCTCTGGGATGCCCGTGCCCTGGGGCGGGCTGGGGGCGGTGGTGAGGAAGGGTAGTGTCCAGTTGGCGATGCCCATCACTGAACGCCGCTGTCTCGAGCGTCTAACCAAAGCAAGGTAGGTTTTAAGTGACTTAAAAAAATGCACGAAAACACATCAAATATGAAAAAAAGGCTTTTGACATTTAGATGAAAATGTAACAGAAATTGAAAGTAATTAATTAGGAGGGATTGCAGGGAGCAGTAGTTGGAGCGACAATAATATAAAAGGATTGAACTGCCAGTATTCTGCTTGATGGTCAAACAGCTTTATGAAACCCAACACCTTTCCAACATCCGTTTTACGGAGAACTGCAATTCTGTAACTTTACAAATCTGACATTTACATCCGCCTAGTCTGCTGTGAGAAAGCAGCCAGGGTTTGAACTTCTCACTCTAGTTTTCTTTTTGTCATTTGCTAAACAACTATTTCTGTCACTTTACGTGTCTATAACTGAGTGCACTACGAGTGTCTTCCAGGAGAAGCTGTCTGAACATGTGCGCCGTTATCTCCATTTCAATGATGTTGCGCGCCCCCCCCCCCCTCCCCCTCCCCCTCCCCCTCTATGACGATGACCAGCACGCTCGGATCGGCAATGAACACTTTCGATTTCCGAAGTGAACAAGACGTCGTACAAACTACTTCTTTTCTAGTACAACCCTGCCCTTATGCAGTGTCCTGTTCTGAGGTTTGTTTACTGCAAAACAGGATAATGTTTTAGCTGAATCCTGGTACTCCAGTGACACTTATAAAACATAAAAGGGAAGAATTAAGAAATATGATTTGCTTTAGTCCAAAGACTCATACAGTTCTTTTATAAGAGTGCTCAGCATGATCAAACACACAACGCACGATGGTGCGTGAGAACTTTAATTTGTGTTATGGGGAGCTAAACTGAAGGCAAAGTTGAACTTGATTGAGTTTGACAACAAAAAAATAAATAAATGCTGAACTGGTTTAATCCATCTTGACTTAAACCTTAAAAGCCAATTCTCTTGAGGACATTTATAAATAATAAAGTTGATGAAGTTACATAATATTCAATAAACACTTCAGTTTACTTACATTTAAACGCATTATATGTAAATTTTCTGCCACTCTCTCAATCAAAACAAAAACAAAAGACGGAGTTCGGTGACGTTGCGAAGTAGCGTGGGATCGTGGTAGTTACTGTCTTCACTACCACTGCGGTCATTGTAGTCATCTTCTCCCGCTTAGGATATCTTGTTAATCGTTCAGGTGGTTTTAACTGGGAGCCCAGCTATCTGCAGAGGTCTCCCCCTCTCCAAAACAAACCGGTAAAAACACAGAATAAAATCTGTTTTATGTTCAAAATCGGTGTTTCTAAGACGCAGTTCGGCGGACAATCGATGCCTCTTCCAACCAGTCATGTTGCAGTTTACATCCATGTCTGTCCAAAGTCCCTCCATCATTATATCCAATCATTTCTCCAAGTTTGAAAATAGAAACAAAATACATAACATGGGTCTAGTTGTTTTTTTTGACATTTTCATGGGGAAAAGCTACATATTATACCTTTAATTCTCAAAAAGACAACTCTGTTGTCAGTTGTCTTACTTGATCTCAAAGACTTCATTGTGGAGGTAATTCTCGAAGGTTTTCCGGTACTCTGAGTCCTCTTTCTCCTTCTTGAGCTCCTTGTCGGTTTTGGGGCAGCCGCAGCATCGGGTCCCCTGGCCCTGCTCCTCCGTCTGGTTCCACTTCTGCTCCTCGTCACTGTCCACCTGAGTGGGCACCCGCGACGGCAACTTCATTCCTGGTGAAAGTCAGGGAAGAAATAAAAATAAGTCAGACAGAATGGAAAGATTGGCGCAATAAACACAGACGCATAACTCAAGTTTTATGCACAAATATCCACGTACACACACTCCTCCCACATAGTTACACGCCTGAAGGGCATGTCTGTCATCGTCACCTCCAGGTCCTCACCCTCTCTGGTGGAGATAAATTACCAGTGACACAACTTTCCCGCAGATGTGTGGGAGTTATGAGAGTTCAAAAGAGGAACTTGGGCTCGGTTGTGCGCTGGAAGAGCACTGATGGCATTCACGTAGGTGAGGCTGTGCCAGGAATAACTCAACCAATATACTGTATAAGACTGAAGTCGGCCTGATTCCCTCTCAATCCTGATTGTCCCGATGCCAGGGTTCATGTAGTTTAAGCTACATAACACCCAAACAAACACTCACCTTAACCACACTTGATTTTCTTGCTCAGTGGGTACAGACTAGTACTTGGTTCAACTCACAAAGGGTTCACTTCACTATGCTTAAAATGTGCTCATAGGTCTACAAAGGCTTTTCTGTTGCACTTTTCTGTCCATCCTGCTGAGAAACCATGCATAATGCAACTTAGATATACTGCTGTTGTCATTTGGACATTCTTTATCTCCACTTCTGGTGATTTTAATATTTTCATTTAATAAAAGAAATACATGTCACTCTACAGCTGATTAAATTTTGGAATGTGTGAAACGTGTGTTGATTTTTAAGAGTTATGTCGGACCCAATAACATTTTATGTACATGAAGCAACCTCAAAATCTATCACGATAATGATGTTGAACTCGTTGGTTTTGGGTTATTACGCTTATATTGGTGTTGTTTTGTAGGATTGTTAAGATCGTCTGCTTTTGTACATAATGTGGGTCGATATATATTTATGGAAAATTCATGATAAAATCGAATTACCCATCGAGGAGAATCAGAAGAAGTAAAGAGCGCTTCTTGAGAAGAGAGGAGCTCTTCTACCAACGTAAAGATCGCAAGAGGCATTCTTTCTCTCCCTCGCTCTCAGACAGTCAGACGCATAAAGCCACAATAAAGACACAACAACAGGACAAACACAAACAATATAGCTCACCCTTCTGACAGTAGTCAAACTTGTAGAGCTCGCTGGCTTCAGGCTGGCGCTGGCAGAAGACCAGGTAGTGAGTGATGTTTCCGTTGGGGTCATTGGGAGATTTCCACTTGAGGATGATCTGGGAGGACGAGTTGGACGAGGAGATGGGGTCCAGCGGGACAGACGGTTCTGTGGAGACATCACGGAAATACAGAGATTTTGATAAGTAAACAATCCCTTCATTTGCCGCTGAACAGCAGCTAGTTGCTTAAGAGCGACAACAAAAACACAAAACACATTTTATAAATACAAAAAGAAATTTGTTTGTAAATTTTGTTGACAAGCTGAAGTTTTTGTAATAAAATGTCTCGACCATTTTGTTAAAAATACGGCCAGCCTATCAAATCATGAGCTGATTTTAGAGCGAAGCATTTTGAGAATATTAATTATTATATTATATATACGTAATTTGACTGATCATGATAATGCACTTTAGTGACTCTCTGTCCTCTCATCCCTAAAAAGGATTCTCGTTATTATTTCTCTCAGTCTTGAAGTCATACAGTAAAAAGAAGAAGAGCTCGAGAAGTCACGGTACATTGTTGTCACAGTCAACTCATTTCTTCAAATGACTCATTAGGATTTATCAAATATAGCAGAGGGGAAGTTCTGTTTCAATCTAATTTGCATTTCATGTATAACTACTGAAACACTTACTGGCTGTGAACAGCTGACGCCTGCTCTGGGTATATGCAGTTTTGTTTTTTGTTTATGACACTAGTGTATTTTGCTCTTGTACATCTGAGTGGTTACAATGTTGGATGTCCATACTTTACAAGTTCATGAGGACAAATGTGCATTTGTTTTGTAGTACTTTCTGCTCTCTAGGGAGCACAGGAGAGAACCGTGTTTTGTTTGTTATTATTTGTACAGTTTGAAGATATCTTAAAGTTTTTGTCTCTTCATTGGTGTATTTCTACTTCATTGTGGTTTCCAGTGTGTAGTTTTACTTAAGTCATTGTTAAGCTGTGGTTTGCATGTTCAGTTTCAGTTCTAGTTCTCAGTATTTTGACAGGTGTGGCATTTAAGATATTTAAATTGTTTCTTATTTCTGTTCCTTTTTTTAAAAATAGATTCATGTTTTACATAGAACATTGTAACTATAAAGTAAAGCTGCATTCATATTCATGCCTTAAAAATAAATATAGATTTCTTAAATCAGTTGTAACTTGTCGACATGTAGTTTTTGTTTTGTTTGTGTTCTTGTTTACCGTCATAACCCTGGTTATCACATACACATGATATGCATCCTTCATGGTATGTGGAGCATCAGTGAAATTTCAGTATTTCATGTAAGACACAACAGTACTGTGGAGTACCATATATCTTCAAATTGCAAAACAAACTGCAATGTGACATATATTTTTCTATTCGTAATTCGATCCTACTTAGTGAACACAGATTAGCGGCACTAACACAGGAGGCGTAACAACACGATTTGGTGTGTGTGATTCTCAGGGAATCTGGCACCAAGCACTTGTTGTTGGTGAGAATGAAATGCAGAAGTTACATAATGATTGTTTTGAGACAGATTGTCCCGTTCTATCCTATTATACATCGAAATGTGTTTTCTAATCTTTTCAATCTTTGCATCAAACATGGGCAGCTGACAAAATGTGTTGTTCCACGCTGCGAGTACAGAAAGAGGTCATCGGCTACATGTAGCGAAAACAACGACTGGCATCACCGTTTATCCGATTGTCTGGTGAGACATATGAACCAGATTTTCGAGAGGAAGGAAACCCAAGAGACACTTTGCATCTTAAAAGTATCACGGCCTGAAGTGGACTGGGAAAGTATTGAAATTTGCACATTTGTAAGAAAAGCTCAGGATGTCAGACTGAACCCTAAGGAGACACAGCTACTGTGTGGGCCCTGTTTCATGACGGTGCAACACACTGGTCTGACTGCATTATCAGACTAAGTTTCACCAGCAACAGCTTATTTGTAATGACAGCTTTGCCCTTCTGATGAGGTATGCCGGTTAGAGGTGACACAGCAACCCCCCCCCCCCCCAGGAAACCTGAAGAGGTTGCCAGACGGATAGAACAACCGGCCGTCTGTTACTTGTGAGCGAGAGAGATGTCATGTTTGATGCGGTTTATCAGGACGGAAGAGCGCATTGTGTAAAAAGGAAGCCGGTTAGACGGGCCATCGTCACTGCGACAAAATCAAACTGGACACGACGCACATCGTGGGAGGCAGAGTACAATTAACTACTGGGGGGAAAGATTTATAATCTTGATGCAGACACCTTGCACGAGGCAGCGCCCCGTCAGTCGATGGCACCCCAGGCGGACCCTGCCATCTGTCTTCCTCTTCCCTGTTCTTGTGCCAAGGACATTTTGGCAGCTGCCAGTCTGACGCTCACAACACTGAGTCCACTAGTCAATGATAGTAACACCACAAGAAACTTGGATTCAAAACGACCCTAAAAATAGTTCTAGCACAGTACAAGAAATAGCCCTTTCCCTCGAAAGGAATGTAAGAACCCGTAACCTGGAGCTTCCCATAACCTAACTTTTAACCTGGAATAACCTGGAAGTCTTTGCTTAGAGGTTTCTTCTTTGAAATTGTCATTCGGTAGGAGACTGCAGTTGTGGGACAGACAGTGATGGAATAAGTGTAGCTAATAGTGATTGTCTTTTGTGTTTACATGTAATGTCCTTTAAACGTCTACAGCGATAACTTAATGGAAGGGCTGCTGCCTGATTCTCTCCTGAATCAGAAGATAGACGGCGGTTTCTTTCACACTTCCATAAAGGGCTGCCCACTGAAAGTCCATGAGTCAAATCATCCGTTGATGACCCCCGACTTGACGTTCGAGCAGTCTTCTTTTTAAGAGGCTAGATCGATAAAGAACTTTGTGCTCTTGTAAACAATGTAATCATAAACACCGTGGTTGTATAATATGAATGGTGATGACCATTCATTATCACAGAAAGATGTGCCAATGGACTACCGGATTGCCAGATGTACAGACTGATTCCAAGTTCAACTGCATTTTAACTAAATAACCAGTAAACAACACAGATCTCAATCAGTCTTACTGGTGGCGTTGGTGCGAACATAGATGATCTCGCTCTTGGCTCCGTGGACCTGGTGCTCGTCAGAGGCCGACAGCTGGGTTTTCACCATGATGGCGTACTGCGTCCAGGGCTTCAGTGGCAGGATGAGATGACCCGGTTCAGACTGCTCTTTGTCCCCCTCTGTGGCTCGTCGCGGAGGGTCCACGTCAGCAATCGCCCAGCTGTTGGAGCCGCAGGCGTCCTGCCCGTCAAACTCGGTTACGTTCTGAAAAGGTCTATTGTGCGGAAGAACAATAACAGTATACGGGGGAAAAAATGGTTAAACGTAGGCCTAAATTGTTTTCTAGTTGAGGGCGAATATTGAGTTTCAGTTTGATGTTTTACAGCAATTTATCATTGTTTTTATCTGACCAGTTAGAGTTTGCAAAACATCACTGAGGCCGGAGAGACCCTCAAAGTGATGCTGGTTCAAAGGGAGGATATCTTCCTGATTTTAGTACTTTGCAAAGTCGGGTTCAAACAAATCATTTTTCTGGCAGAGATCCAAGTCTGATTGTGACTGATGGCTGAAGATGTACTTACGCTTCTTTGTAGAGCACCATGAAGCCCAGCAGGTCTCTGAAGTCTGGAGGCCAAAAGGGTTCCCACTTGACCATTATTTTATCGCTCATGGTTCGAATCTGGGTAAACTTCAACAGATGGTTTTCACCTGAGAAAAGACAGTAATCACTTAAAGGCGCAATGTGTAAGGTATGGGCAGAACTTTTGAACTAACTTCATCCACAGAATGTGAAGAAGTTACAGTGTTGACGTTACGTCAAAGACGCATATATGTGTATTGTGTTGCAGAGATATCTACTAAAATGAGCATGGCATGCTAACCGACTAGCCCCGGCTCGTCCTGTCTGGTATTACAACTTGTTCCCGAAAGGGGCGATAGTGAGTCTCTACAGCGTCCAGTCTACCCTCAGTCCAGAAAACGAAGAAGTGCTGCACCTTGCACTTGTCAATAATATAGCCACGGTCCGTGTACGTTTTGATCGTTTGTTTATTAAATTAAATCAAAAGTGTTATAAACCAGAAAATGACTCGCACCCTCGCATCAGTCTCCCCGCCGCCACTCTTGCCATGCCGTTCACTTTTTAACTGTTGATTGTAAATTTAGATTGTACAAATCTAAGATAACGGTGCCAGATCTCGGTCCTCTGATCCCGATTTTGGTTACGAGAAACTGAAGAATCTCAAATTTTGAAGCATCCAATCCCCTCCATCTTCCTCTCTTTGCTGTCTTGCTGTTATGTCAAATAAATCAAAGAAATGTGTCAAAGACATATGAAAGGGAGATTATCGTGTTGTCCCCTGCAACCCGTCTCTTAACTTGAATTGAACATGTAGTTTAAGATGGAAAGGACAGAAATAGCACAACACCTACATGTTGCCATGTTAATATTTATCGTTGCTGTGCTCTGTTGGTTGGTCCTAGTTAATCTGCGTCAGTAAACGGTGGGCCAGAAGACAGGAAATGACCATCATAACAATAGCTATGACTATGTCTGTACCAGGGCAGACTCTTCGTGTTTTCCGCTGCCATAGTAGCTCGTGCAGCCACCGACATGACGTCAGAGCAGAGGTTCTTACATGATGCCTGGTCTCCGTTGGTCTTGGAGGCGATGTCGTTCTTGACTTGCCGCTCCTTGGTCCCCGTCACCTCCTCCATCTTGCGGATCTCAGACATGCAGAGTTTGGGGTTGTAGTGGAAAAACATGCGTCCCTGCAGGATGGTCAGCTTGTGTTTGGACCAATCCCAGAGCTGCCGCAGGTTCTGGTTGTCCAGGGCATAGAACGAGTGATTCCTGGAAAAGAACACACAAGATTGCATGAGACATATTTTTCATTCTACACGTGACATTTAGCTCAGGACATTATTGGAGAGTAACATTAATAGAAAAGTATTTCAGCATGGTTAGCCTACAATTTGCATCATATGCCTGACCTCTGCCATTCCTACTGTAAGTGTAGGCCATTGTGCTACAAGCGTCTTCCACCTCGTCTGAATGAAGCCTCACATATGATTTGTCTAACCAAAAACAGTTACCACAGACAGACATTCTGAAAAGGTCAGTCCTTCCGCTTTTAACTCATAATTACAGGAGGCGGCTCCGACATGGCGAGTTTAAGATGAGACTCAAAAGACGGCATCTCACCCGATGTCCAATTCCTCTCCATGAATAACACGGAGTTTGCGGAAAAAAGAGAGGGATACGAGGGCGTAGGAACGTCGCACTGACAGGTAGCCAGTGATCTCCTCCAGCTGGCCCAGGCTGGCCTCCAGTTCAGCTGCTATGTTGTCTGCAGAAAAACAAAGCACACAAGCCCTGAAGTGACTTCAGGTTCTATAGAATTCTTAGTCTTTTCATTTTGGTTTCATCTTTTACACATTTTCCTATTTAAGCTGTTCAGACACAAAACAATAATAGTATACAGTCCATTATTCAAATGATTTGGAAATCATGCAGAGCGGTTTGCTTTTCCTTTAGGCAGGATGATTGGGAATGCGTGTGTTAAAAACTCAATAAAAATCAAATCAACTCATGGAAACCTTTATTAATTTGTTTGCATTGCATTCATTTTATTCACTGATGTTTCGTTGTTAGATTGTTTAAAGTTATTGTAAAATCCCACAGTTTTAGCATTTTAAACTCTGATTTCATTTTAAATTCATGTGTTTTCTTCAACCGTACACCTTTTTGTGTAATGCCAGCTTCTTAGCTGTTCTGTTGACCTGTTGCATACTGTAATTTCATTCCACCAAACAAACCACATATACTCACTTCCTCTACGCATGTTGATGACCAGGCTCCCATTAAGAACAGTGCAGCCTCTCAAAGCCTGGGCAGTCGTGACAGAGTCCACAAGGCTGTAACCCATACATACCTTGGGACAAAGCCCTGCACAGGGAGTGCAGTTGATCCTAGAGAACAAAAGGAAAATGAAATATTTCAAGAAAATGTGTGCATGATAACAATGCGCGTGGGTGCTAGGAATGACAACTTGGAGTCATTTTTCACTTCTGGTTTTCTTCGAGCGACACCTTTAGCAAACAGGTCTACTCCCAAAATATCCATTGCTTCTTTAAATGTCTTGGCTTGACTGTATGTATAACAGAAACACTGGAAATGAAGTTTGAATGAACTGAAAAATGAACTGACACCGAGCCTTCACCTTAACAACAGAGTTGAACAACCCGGCTTACATAACGCTTTCATAACAGATATATGGCCGCGGCTGAGTGTGTCAACCGTACCAACCCATTTCCTGAAAAGTCGTCTGCACCTTCCCCACACTCGTAATGTGGCGAGTGAAAACTTTGATGAGGTCAAATCTAAAGTGCACAGCAACCTCTGCGGTCGAGGTCGACCGATTTTATAAGGCCAAGTAGTTTGTGAGCCAAGTAGGTAGTTGAGTGTAGCCCCGCCCCCACAATGTGAATGAACAATCTTTGACTCCATTACTGTACAAACGACTTAAATGTTCAGTTCAACAGTCATCCAAACGTAATAACACCTAAATAAATATATCCGGATCACTGAACATTAAACATAAAGCAATAAATAGGCGGACCTAAATAAATACACGTAGAAATCTCAAGCTGAACATCAAACAAACCGTGAAAAAGTGAAAAGTTCCTCGCTGTGACATCAGCTGGACTTTGTGATGTGTTTTACTTCTGTCGGTTACTTATGCAAACACTTAATAAACCTGTTTATTGACACTCTGAACTTGTATTAGTACGAGAAAATCCTGAAGTGTGACTTGATGGATTACATTGTTGTTTTTTTTATAATGGGCAATAAGGCGTTCTGTGGTTTATGACTGGCCAGTATTACTTCTGCTGGTCCTGTAACATTGCTAAAGGGTGTGATTTCTATTCATGAATGGATAGTTACACATCTGGATTATTCGGAAGAGAAAACAGCTAATTGAAGTAAATTAAAGTAACAGTTGAATGATTTCTTTTCCTTCCTGTCTGCCGGTCTTGTATCGTTGCCAAAGAGCTGATAGTCATTATATATTCGAGAGATAACTTTTGTGGGGAGAAATAAACTGAAAAGGTATCAGAAATTACATCAATACCACTTGTCTGCTTGCTGCAAAATGTTAGCCCACATGTTGTAACTTTCTTTTGTTTTTAAGGTTTGGAATTTAGGGGTAAAGGCGACGATTAGACGGTGATGGGCTGTTTGCTCTGTGACCATTGTCCTGATTGTGTTAAAGTATTCTTTGTGTTTTTATTTACATGTGTTTATGGCACAGTTCAGAATCAAAAGCATAACACAAGAGGCATAACAGCTGAGAAGTGTGTCTTCATTTTGCAAATAGAAGTAGGTTGTGGGCACCGTTTCTTTATCTGGCTCACAACGCTCCTGATCTATCTTGACCTTTTTCCTCGCTCTAGTGCCACATCTGCACTTTCAGCTGAGAGACTCATAACGGCTTTGAGTACACCGCTTATCCACAAAGCACTTTCATTTCCACAGCTTAGTTTAAAGCCAGTGACGTGGGGGGGGTGAGATATAAGGGCTGAGATGGGTGTGCAGCAGGGTTCAGTAGACTGAAGGTTTAAAGGAGATTGTTGATCACCTGACAAGACGTGATCAAATCTGCACATGGAGAGGGCTGATGAACTTTGTTCAAGCATTATTCCAAAGATGTGAGCTGCTTCTACTTAAGCTATACCTGTGCAACGTAGGCAGAAGATTAATATTTATATATAGATTTATATTAATACTATTATTTTATAATATTTTTCAGCCTTTATTTTAACTAGATCGCCACCCAATGGATCAGGTGATCCTAGATTAAAACAAAACACAAGTTAAAACCTCATGCGGTTCGCATACATAAAGATACTTTCTTAAAAACACGGAACAACAATTATGTTTGTTACTGTGTGTTTCTTCAATGTTCAGAGCTGCACAGATTATTGTGAGTTAAAGAGATTCTCAGTCATTGCTGTGTAACGAATGAGCACATCTGGATGTGAATGCCTTCCTTTTCTGATTCAAAACTTTGGAACTTAACAGTGAATGAAAATTAATAGCAGTCTTTTCTTTCACAGCAATGGCCGGGCTGCACTTGAGCAAGGCACTTCACCCTCATCTGCTCCAGTGGAGCTGGATCTGCTCAGAGAGTCCCTCTCGAAACCTCTCAGGTGTGGACGTACAGTATGTACAGTAACTGTGAATGTGACGCTGCATGTTGTTAGAACACGTTACGTTTCCTTGTCATCACTGTCAAGGCCCTGCACCCCCGGGCACTAACAGTCTGTCCCGAATGCCTCTCCGACTCCCCTGGTGTTTAAATGCCACCTAGTCAACTAGCCAGTCATGTTGCAACAGAAGACGACGAGTCTTGAAAACTCCAGCTGCGTTTTTCAACCTCTGCCCGAGCAGAATGATTAGGGCTGACTGGAGCGTCTCGCAGGCACACCTGCACTAATCAACAGCCCTGTCACGGTCAATGAAAGGTGTCAAAGAGGGATGCGATAAAGCTCACTGGCAAGTCAACCAGAAGTCTGCTCGGAGGCAGCTACGGAGATACGCACACAACAGGTTGTAAATTATAGATGTAGAGAAAAAGGGGAACCCCCCCACCCCCACCTACTATAGCTTTCACAGAAAGGAGCCAGAAAAAAAAAACTAGCTGATGGACACAGAGTCAAAGCGCTGCAGCACTTTGACCTTTCTGTCTGCGCTCTCACACACATGCAGAAAAAAAAAAAATTGTTGTGCGTGTGTGTCTGCACCTAATAGCAGAGCTTTCTGAGCTCAGCAGAGGGAACCTGAGTTCACACACTGTCACAGTGTGCTACAATCACAGTGACAAGAGCTAAATTCATTCTCTCTTTCTTCCTTTATGTTATTGTTGTTGTTAAAGCTGATATATTGTTGAATCATTTGTTCTTATTATTGGACTGCTAAATCACATCCTTTGTGTATAATTGTCTGTTCTAAGATAAACTAGTATAAATGGCCTACTTTTTATGTCTTATATTAGTTTATTCTTCCTACCTTTTGTGCTACTAATCTGTCCGGGTCAAACACACCAATCAAATGATTACTGCACGCCACCGGTGAGTCTTTTTTGATAATAATCAGTTTGTACAAAGCAACAAACGATTTGTAAATTAAGGCATTGTTGGCATTTTTAGGAATGTGACAGAATTAGATGGGTTTATAGGGGAGTAAAGGAGAATCAACCAGTCGTCTGTGTAAAGGCCCAGGAGGATTAAATGTTGACGTGGATGTGTGCGTATGCATGCGGAATATTAAGCCGGCTTCACTGATCACACATTGTTCCATCCGACCATCGAGAGCCCATCGGACCGGCACGAGTGTCCACTTACGAGGAGGAGTTGACGGTCGTGTAGCCGGAGGGACACTCGGGGATGCAGGCACCGTTGTGGATGACGTACTCGTGGCAGTCGGGGTGCTTGCTGTGCTCCTTCTCTCGCTTGCACTTGTTGTGGAGGTCCTGGCAGAAGGCGAAGGAGACGCAGCGCCAGCTCTTGTAGACGAAGCGGTTTTCGGGGCAGCGCTCCACACAGCCGTCCTCGTGCTGGAGGCCGCGGCAGGCCACGCAGTGACCGGCCGAGTGGGGCTTCAGGCAGCCGCCCAGGCATTGGTCGTGGCAGCACTGGTTGTCCATGGTGCAGGCTCGATGCTTACACTGAACAGGGCACACTGCATGTGAGAGAGAGGGACAACGAAGTTAGTGAAGCAACGGTTATAGTGAAGGTTATTTAAAATGCACAAGTATTAAGGACTGAACGTGAGCTGCAGGAAGAGAGACTGGAAACTGAGGCTCATTAGCATTCAAACACATGACGTAGGATTTCCCAAAGTGACACAGCTGATTTTAATCTCCAATGACAATACGTCTTAATATTTCCACCTCCGCAGAAATCTCATACGATCAGATGTCTCTGTCAGCGGGAGACAAATCCCTCCTCGCTGCACGAGCCAGCAGCCCAGAGGACCATCTGTCATTGGCCAACAAGCACGCTGAATACGAACAGTGGGGATCCTCCAATAGTTCCAAAAAAGACAGACACTGACCCAGAGGGCTCGGTGAAAGTGAGGGGGGGGGGGGACATTTACATTAACTACAATTTATAAACTATTATAAATTGTAGTTAATGTAAATGTCACTTCTTTTATAAATAAAAAGGAACATCTTGCGGCCTGTCCTTAAGGTTTCCAACTTTGGGAACCACTACGACAGATATAGATACATCACAACATCTAAAAGCACCATATCTAAACATCAAAGTGTCTGGTTGATTAGTGCTGATACAATGATTTGATTAATTGAGAGACATAAAATTAATTAACAATAACTGTGCCATTGATTTATGATCAACCAGTCACTGGTTCCAGCATCTCATTGGTGCAGATTTGCTGTTTTTCTACATTTTATATAATTGAAAATGAAATACTGGACTTTTAGATGAACATGGTAGATGAAGTTGTCACTTTGGATTGTGGGAAATTGCGATGGATGGTTTCATTATTTTCTGACGTTTATAGATTCAATTGTTAATGGATTCATCAAAAAATAACTAAGCGATCAACTGATAAATTATCCTTAGTTGAAGCTGGAGCTGTTGCACAAAACTGTTTCGCAAATAACGTAATCCAAATACTCTCACATCATCAATACAATGACACACGATAAATATCCCGACTCATCTAAAAGAGGCTACACAGAAAACGAATGCACAGGACACACCTACACAAGCTCTTTGTGAAACCCCGACAGAAAGATTCTGTTCACACGAACACTGAAATTCAGTGATGTTTTTTGGGGGCGTAAACACCATCATTTAAAGACAGAGACGAGTCTGTAGGTTGGCCGTTTGTGCATATGTCTGCATGCGTGCGTGCCTGTAAATCAGCCTGTTACATAACATTAGACTCTCAGGATTCGTGTGTGTGTGTGTGTGTGTGTGTGTGTTGTGGTCTCAGTGTAGGTGTGAGGACAAGTTTGCAAAGATGGATGGAGGCTTCTCAGAGGTAAACACAGCTGACTGACCTGCCCGCTGAGATAAGCCACATTTAGGACTGTTCAACAGCAGGGGAGATAATCATCGCTGAGCTTCGGGGCGGGTTATAGGTCAGACCGTAAAGTTGAGGGTCTGAGCTCATATCCAGCCACATGAACAAAAAGCAAGATGTGAGAATTGGCTGCTGTGCTTCCTTTTACAGGAGACAATTACTCTCAATCGTCTTTATTTTTCTTGCTTTCTAACTGCTTGGTTTCATTAGTGTCATAGGGACTTACAAAGACCGCTGAAGGTGGTTTCCACACTGAAAAACTAAAATGCTCTCTTGATACTATGTTTGCTTCCCTCTCCAAAGTGTATTTGAACTTTATTACAAAGTTGCTGCCCTTCAATTTTCCCCCTCAAATGTACACACACACACACACACACACACACGAAACACACACACACACACACACACACACACAGCAACAAAAGCGTTGCTGTCTGCTCACACACTGCAACAAAAGCGTTGCTGTCTGCTCACACACTGACTCCTGATCCTGCAGCAGGGCTCCATGTCGCAGCACAGGCCCGGCACCAGATCCACCCTCAGCCTTAGCCAATGTGTTGGCTAGCCGTAGAAGCTAGCCATTCAAAAGGCCTCTCACATCTCCAAGGAAGACAGCCACATAGTTTAACCCTTTGTGTGCCTCTCGCTCCCCTCACAGCCAATCAGACGGCAGCACAAGTGCAGGCTCGAGCTGCTCTGCCCTTTCCGTCTCCTCGCCGCTATGAATCGACTGCTTTTCTACTTAATCTAAAGCACAAGTAGTAGCACAAGTAGTCCCTATTAAATGACATTAGGATGAACACAGCGCTCCAGCAAAATCTTGTTATTCAGGAGTCCTCGTTGAGAGAAACGTGGTGCTTTTCAGCCATAAATGGGTTCAAACTCACACTGAGACAACCGTGTTACGTTAGATTTGTGCCGAACAGCTCGGTGCCTCCCATGATGCATCATGTCTCATCATGCTCTCAACTCATTAGCACTTTTTACAGACGGACCGGTAACAACTGAAAATGGTTCTACAAACTCAAATAAATAATGATAAAATGTACGTATTTATGACACTTTGTTCATCTTTTTTTTTTTGCCCAGTGTCCAGTATATTATGTCTGATTAAAATGTTTTACTTCCGAGTGAATTCATTTTGAGCAACAATCCATTAAATGTTGCAACGGGCAGTTAATTATTCTTCAGTGATGAATGTAGAGAAACCACACAGTCCTGCTCAGATATAAAACATTGCATTAAAGCTGAAACAATTCGTTGTTTGACTGTCGATTAAGTGTTTCATCTGTATTATCAAGGAGAAAGTTCAAATATTGTCTGGTTCAATTTGAAGGATTGCTTCTTTTCTGTCATTTTAAATGAATTATGTTTGGGAACATCGCTCACAACTTGTAATGGGTATTTTTCATTTTATTGACATTTCATTGGTCTATTAATCGATGAGTTAACAGATTAACAGGCAGAACATAACCGTTTAATCCCGTTATCTTTATCTAAACTGTATCTGGTTCAAGCGTCTTCAGTGCAATGGTTTCCTGCTTTATATAATTTTAAATGACATATCTTGAGATTCTGATCTGGTGGTTGGACAAAACATTTTAAAGACTTTTCTTCAGAACTTGATGGGCATTTTTATTTATTTGTATACTTTTCAATCCGAGTAGATAATAATAATAGATCGTCAGTTGCAACAATGCAAATGTTACACGTCTGATTTTTGTTTTTACCAGAGGCACCAGTGGAAAAAAAAGAGTAAATGTGGATCGATTAATTCCAGTGACTTCAAAAAGTGCCAAAAGGGCAACTTCTTTCCTGAAGCACCAAAACAATCCACTCGCTGTCCAACAAATTTGTACAGTTCACTTGGCCAACAACTGACTCGTCTGCAGAGTTAAAATCAATGATTGTAGTTGATCCTAAATAAGCGGTATTACTCAACATCAGACATCATAGAGGCTTCTATAATATAAACAACAGTGACCACACTGAAGCAGATAGACTTGTTTCTTGTGTGCTTGTCAAAAAGGTGTTCAAGGTCCCCAGCCACCCAACATGCAAATCTCTAAATAAGGGCCCGCTTTCTTTATACTCATTATAGACCCTTCAGCTAGCGCCGTCCATGGAGATCAGAGGTCTTTCCTCAATGTGTCAATTAGTTATGCGCAGCTTGAGTTTGCTCTTGTCAGCTTCGCCGCTACTTATCTTCCATTTGGACAGCGTAAAATCACCCGACAACAATAAATCAATGGGATTTTTGGGAGACGAGTGCTGGGTCGGCAGTTGGACTTATGGGTGTTTACATTTAAGCTACATTTTCCTTTTAAAAGTCTTGAGGCTGAATGCTTGTATCGCCTGTTTGAACTCCTTATCCATATTACTCTGGTTCCTCTGGCACACCGGTCAGGGCCAGTCTGATCTCTTGTCATGCGTTTTTTTTTTTTTGTGCAAAGTGCAGCGGGATCACATGAAGGCTGGGAAATAATGTTGCAGAAATGCCTGGCTCTTCATCTCATCAGCACAGAACCACACAATGAGATGCTCAATCCTCCGAGCCTGAAACAAACATCAACAACAAGCCAACACAACTCAAAGCCCCTGTGTGACAGAGAATAATACACCCCGTCAGGGAGATGCCATCTTGGAAATGGGAGGTGAAGAAACAGATCTTCGCAGACTGCGAGCTTCAACAACGTGGGGTGTGGAAAAGGCAGAAAGAATCCACATTGCTCGCAAGGAATGACTCATACAATACATAAACAGCTCCTTGTCTGCTCTCTGCAACCAGACTGTATGGAGTTATCTATTTAAAAGTTTCTCGTTTCTACCAACATCAAAATGCACACCAGGAAGCCTTTATTATTGGACTGTAGTATATTTAGTAATTGTATTTATACAGGCAAGGAGATTCACACTTCACGGTACTCAAAACTAAACTCAAGGATTGCTGCCTAAAATCGAGAGTCTCCGTACTCGTCATTAACCACAATCCTCCCTAAAATCATTTTGTGGTGAGTTTTTCCAAGTTCCCCTTTTTTGGCAGTGATGAAACAGCAGCATAATCGGGCTTTTTGCGTCAAGATCGTATTAGACCCCAGAAAATGGGAACGCGGTTGTGCGCTGGTTGGTAATTAAAATTCCACGGCTATGATGAGGGTAGTATTTAGTTTCTTATGAAAGGAGGTTTCTGCTGAAGGCCCAGAAGAGAAGAATCCAAAGAAGAACAAATAACGTGTCCTTGAAAATGGCGATCTCTGTTCTAAAGCATCAAAAAAAGAATTTGCCATCATTGAAATGATAATAGTGCTTTTATCAGTGAAGTATTGGGGGAAGTCATGTCTGAAAAGCTCTGCTTGCGCACACACAAAGTTACAAAATTTCAGAGGTGCACAACAAAGCGTCGGGACCGCTTGCGGAGCCTTCGCACACCACGCGCAGGCCGTGATTACGTAATTTTTTGGCTTCACTACTGCGAGTTTAAACCGAGCTTTAGAGTAATTACTGCTCTCTGCCCTGATAATGTCATTAATACAGAGCTGGCTGCTGGCTTCCTCCCCACTTTTCAAACACGTCTCTGCCTTCTGCAGCTCCCTCTATACCTTTAATAAGAACGAGATGGCAGCGAA